AATCTGGGTAATATATATAGATCCTGACTCATAAATGAGAGGGAAGTCAATTTTTAAACTATATACCAACAGAGGAACTAATTCCCAATATAGGGGAGGGGCTTACAGAAAGTAACAGCCTGGAGTTAAACCAGCTTTCCTCACTTTAATAAAAAAAAATAAAAATATTGTTTAAAAAAAGAATAAAAAAATCATTGTTCTGATTTTTGAGCATATGCCTATGAATAAAATTCAAAAAAGTACAAACAGATGTGAAGCAAAAGTGATCCCTCCCTTCTACCTTGCTCAGCTTCTCAGAGGCAACCTCCTTTAGATGTGACAAATACCTTCAAGAGTTTACCACTGCATCAACCTAGTCCAAACCTAGTACAGCTCCTCCCTCCCATTCCCGTAACACTGGACATACTGTTAGCACTTTCACATGAACTACTTTACAGGTGACCCTGGAAGTTTCAGAGTCTCTGGGACTGGGACTTGTATCATCTTTTCATTATGTGCAGCCCTAATGTAAGTCTGATGAGTAAATGACAAATGAAGTTTCCAGGGTCCTGCTGTGAGGTGTGACAGCAAGCCACACAGGAGAAGAGTCCATAGTCCATCTTGTAATATCTCTCCAGAGAAGAGTTAGACAAATAATCCTGTCCTTGTAGAACTGAACCCAAAGGACTAGTAAGAGGCTCCCCAGAAGTTTAACTAGTTTAACTAGCCATTGCGCCCTTCTTTCTTCATGTCTCAGGAATTCAAGATTGCTGTCTTTTCTCGTAAACTGCCACTCCCTGAAGGCCCCAAGACTGCACTAACATATTTATTTCCATAAAGTGCTGGATGTGCAGTTTCTTTCTCCTCATTCAAGAAGCTACTTCCTGATATGAATTTCCTAACCATTACAGAGATGGACCCAGACACAAGCATACAATCATGAGGAAGTCATTAAGTGTTACAGTCTTACAAAATGTTTGCTGTTCTTTTCTGTGATTAGCTCAAACCCTGCTGACCTTTGTTTCAAATGATGTTTTGTCTCTTAAAAAGTATTTTTATTAATTTTTTGAAATTTTCACACAATGCAATTTGGTCATATTCACCACCCACTCCTCCCAGATCCATCTCACTTCCTTAACCCTCAACTTTGTCTTTTTTTTCTTTTTCTTTTTTAATAATTCATCAAGGATGAGAAAATGGCTCAGTAATTAAAAGCACTAGCTGCTCTTCCAGGGACTGGGGTTCAAATCCCAGGACCCACATGGTGGCTAACAATCATCTGTAACTCCAGTTCTAGGGGATCCAATGCCTTCTTCCAGCTGCTGGGGGCTCTGCACACACATGGTATGCAGACATACATGCTGGTAAAACATCCATGCACATAAAATGAAATAAATCATGCATTAGGTCTAATTTGTACTGCCCATATACTCTTGGTGACATTCAATGGAGTGTGGTCGGCCTAGCCAGGGTTACGCCCTTAGGGAAAACTTACTTGACTCTCTTTCCTTACTACGCTTCCTTTCTTGAAACAGGATCTCATATACAGCAGCAGCTGTCCTGGGATTTGCTATACAAACCAGGCTGGCCTCAAATTCACAGAGATCTACCTGTCTCTGCCACTGCCTCCCAGTGTTGGGATTAACGAAGTATGCCATCACACCCAGCCCATATTGAGTCTCTTTAAAAAACAGCTGGGGCTATATTGCATAGAGACTATCTCAAACAGATGTAGGTCAATGGTAGAGCTCGTCTAGCATGTATGAGATCCATGTATTGTTTAAAGGGGAAAAAAATACAAGATATCAACCCCTCCACCCCCGCCAAAACACAATTCCACCTTTGTTGAGACATTAATTCAAACAACTTACTCAGCTAAAACAGAAAATAACAGACCCTGAGAGAGAATTAATATGAAGAGGAGATGTATCTTTTGGGGGTTTTTGTTTGTTTGTTTGAGACAGTCTCTCTATGTAGCCCTAGCTATGGAACTCACTATATAGACCAGGCTGGCCTCAAGCATACAGATCTGTCTCTGCCTTCCAAGGGATTAAAGGTGTGTACTTCCACATTGTATTCAGGAATGAGTATTTCTTTGGGGGATGAATATGTGAATTCTAAAGTTTTTTAAGACAGGGTTTCTCTGTGCAATAATACCTAGGCTGTCCCGGTACTCACTTTGTAGGCCAGGCTGGCCTCAAACTCATAGAGAAATCCCTTCAATGGACTTCTTGGGGACTTCTAACACTGCAAGTGGGGGCAGGGGCGGCGTCTCTGACTCTTTGGCCTGCTCTTGGGACCTTTTTCTTCCTATTGGGTTGCCTTATTCAGCCTTGACATGAGGGTTTGTGCCTAGTCTTATATTAACTTGTTAAGCCACGTTCAGTTGATATTCCTGGGAGGCCTGCTTGTTTCTGAAGGGAAACCAAGAAGGAGTGATCTGGGGGAGAAGCGAACTGGGAGGAGTAGAGGGAGGGAAACTGCTGCCAGGGTATAATATATGAGAGAAGAATAAATTAAAAGCAAAACAAAACAAAAATTAGCTACGATAGTCTCTAACAGAGTCTGGACTTTTCTTCCTCCTCTTCCTTCTTCTTTGGTTGTTTTTTTGTTTGTTTTGCTTTGTTTTTTGTTTTTTTTTGTTTTTTTTTTTTGTTTTTGTTTTTGTTTTTTAAGGCAGGTTTCTCTGTATAACAGCTTTGGCTGTCCTGGAACTCAATCTGTAGACAAGGGTGGCCTCAAACTCAGAGATCTGCCTCTATCTCCCGAGTGCTGGCATTACCACTCCAGGCTCTAGTGGCTTCAAGAGTTGACATTCAAGGTCTTTCTTCTAAGCACAGTAGGAGTGCAGGATAAAGAACACTCTGATAGTGTTAGAGGCATGTCTTACAAGTCACTAACAGCTCTTTTGACAAGGAGAAAAGACTTACCAGGTTACCTGTAACAGAAATTGGTTCCACACAAAACAATCAGTAGAGCAAAATGACAGCCCACAGAATAGGAGAAAACTACCAGCTACACTTTGTACAAGGACAAATTTCCAGACTTTCCAAAGAATTGCAGAAAATACCAAGGAAATAACCAAATAGGCAAATGAACTGAAATGGCAGTTTAAAAAAACAAACAAAAAGTGGCCACAACTACTTCTATTAAAATGTGTTTTATCCCTAGTCATCAGGCAAATGCAAATTAAAACTACTTTGAGATAACACCTAACCCCAGTAAGAATAGCTATCAAGTCTGACAGCAAATGTTAGAAAGGATGTGGAGAGAGAGCAAGCCTTACTCACCATTAGTAAGGATGCAAGTTAATACAACCACTGTGGAAATAAATTTGGATAGTCCTCAAAAAAATTAAAACTACATCTACCATATGATTCCATTATTTCATTCTTCATATACACCCAGAGAACTTCATACCTTACCATAGAGATACCTGTACCCTGTGTTTATTGTTGCTTTATTCACTATAGCAAAGAATTAAAATCAACCTCACTGCCCATCAACATGTGAATGGATAATGAAAACTTGATATATATACATAATGGACTGCTATTTAGCTCTAAAGAAAAATGTGATTATGACATTTTCAGAAAAATGGATAGACTTTAAATATATATTAAGTGAGATCGCACAATCTCAGGAAGAGAAATAATGCATGTTCTTTATATGTAGAATCTATACAATAATAACTGTGTATATATACATAAATGTATATGTGGGGACAGTATAACATGCAGAAAAGAGAGCAAGGCTAAATATTAGAGGGTAAAAAGGACCGAAAGAAGGTAATGAATTCAAGGAGTGAAAGGACAGAAAGCTAATTAATTGTCGTTCTAGTTCTAATTGTCATGGATTTTTCAGTTTGAGTGGTGGGCAAGTACTTAAAAATATTTGCAATAGTTAAGTATAAAATCCAATGTGAAGCTTCACAACTTCTGTTCCAACCAGCTACACAAATTGCAACCAAGTTCACTGAGTTGTATAGTATCTGGGTCTGTTTAATTTGGGGTAGGAGATTCTTTTATTTGCAGTTCGTTCTTAATATTAAAGGGGGGGGGGCGGCTGGAAAGATGATTCAATAGTTAAGGGCACTGGCTGTCTTCCAGAGGACCCGGCACCATGACCACGGCAACTCTTATAAAGAAAACATTTAAGTGGAGCTGGCTTATAGTTCAGAGGTTTAGTCCATTATCATCATGATGGGAAGCAAGGCAATATGCAGGCAGACATGGTGCTGGATCAGAAAGTCCTTACATCTTGATCCAAAGGCAACAGGAAGTGGTCTCACTGGGAATGGCTTAAGCAATATGAGACCTAGGAGCCTACCTCCACAGTGACACACTTCCTCCAACAAGGCCACACCTCCTAATAGTGCCACTCCCTTTGGGGCCATTTCCTTTCAAAACCACAAATTCTCAGCAGCCACATGGCAGCTCACCCTGTCTGTAACTCCAGTTTAAGGGCTTCTAACACCCTCACACTGACATACAGGCAGGCAAAACATCAATGAGCATAAAATAAAGTTTAAAAAAGAGCCACTCAATGAACATGAATCCTGAGAGGAACATCAATTACTTTGGTACATTTGGTATGACTCTGATCACATGCATGTATGCGTGTTCGAAAGCACATGTGGTTTTTATTTTCTTAAAGAGCATACTTTGGAGTTGAAAAGATGGCTCAATGATTAGGAGCAGTTGCTGCTCTTGCACAGGACCTAGGTTCAGTTCCTAACCTACATTGGGCACTTCAACTCCAATTCCAGGGATCTGATGCCCTCTTCTGACTCCTGTGGGCATCTATGATGACTAGAAACTCATACAGACACTCACATGGAAATAAAAATGTAAAAACAAGACTATGACATCACTTTAATCATTATAGCTAACTTATATGTAATAATGAGTCAGATTTATGACTCAAAATAATAGGAAACAAAATTAATTGAATTTATATGCACATTTCTGATAGACTATAAATAAAATATTACATTTTCATAGCAAAAAGTTTAAGTCAGATTCTTCTTTCAAAGTGTTTTCATGTTTTAATTAAAGAATCGTTTTATTCAAAAATTCATTTTATTTACAGTTTCAAGCTTTCTTAACCCACTCAGTGTGTGTCCTTCAAGCTGAAATCAAATACCTGCAGGAGTTGGGATCTTATGAATACAGCCAGGACAACAGTGGAGAGAGTCATGAACAAAAATATCACAGTCCACACAGAAAACATTTTGGCACACTGTGCAAACATAGACCTGCAATGAAAAGGAGAAAAGTGAATACACCAAACTAATTTCCAAAAGTACAGCAGTCAAAAGACACGTAAAGCCTTGCTCTCTAGTCCTGTCAATTTTCCCCTATCCACCTACATACTTATTACTTATTAAATCTAACACAATTTTCTCAAACCTAACACGTATTTTCTCCTTAAGCTGGCCCTTAATAGTAAGGAGTGACTCTGATTTGAGTCCTTAAAGTCTATTCTATTAAATAAAGGACATTCATGATTACTTGCTTTTAAATAACTATTTGGGGAAGACACATGATTTTAAAACCAGTACTAGATGTGAAGGCATTTGACAATTCTAATTTTAAAAAAGCACCAAAACTTACCACAGACTTAGTTATTCTTAGAGAATGACCTCTTAATTGCAAAAGCTATATTCCCTTGTTAACCCTTTAAGGGATATGACAAGCAGCTGGGAGGAAGGTGGGCACACACCTATAATTCTAGCACTTGGAAAGTAGAGGCAGGAGGATCACAAACACATATTAAGGTGGGCTACAAAACCCTACCTCAAAAAAAAAAAAAAAAAGCACAAAAACAAACACAAGAGAATGTCAAATGACACACATAAAACATACAAAAATGCATAATTTTATCAGCATTACATACATGGATCCATGTGATTTGGTCTAAGATTTCTAGGGCAACAACACACAGATTTAAAATCAATGTTTTGAACATGAAAAGATGTGTTCTTTAAAACTGACTAATGGAGCACCTCCTGGTAATATGAAAGCTAGTCCTCAGGAAACTGAAAGAAAGCCTCCTTCCTGCGGACCAACTTGCATGGTAGCATTAGGATCCACACTTGCTTTCAAAGGAGGAAAACAACCAACAGTCCTACTCAGCCATGATGTAACCAGCATGGCACTATAAGAGTAGAATAGTGGGATGCATACTTTAGTGGTAACCACAGCTCTCTAATTGGATTTAAGGTCCATTCAACAAGAGGGAAATTATGCCTGGTACTGGAAACCTAGTCAACTACCCAGAGTTAGTTAAGTCATGGATCTTGGAGGAAAATCTACAACCATCAATTTACTAAACCAGCAAAAGTACTAACTACACTCTAAATATCTGTCCTTATACCCACAGATAATTGTAATCCTCGTGAAGGAAACTTAACTTTGCAACAGAGACCATTACAGAAAACCACAACCAACCAAAATGCAGAGTTGTGGAGCCCGATCCCAACTGATACAACTCCTGCACCTAAGGTTCAGGGATCGTTGCAAAGAGGAAGGTATAAAGATCTTGGGTTAGAGAGGCAGCTCAGAGGTTAAGAAAGATTCTAAGAGCCAGAGAAATAGGGAATATGCTGTTAGACTGTGTCTCCTAGGAATGTCAGAGAAGCTATACCCATCAAGTGTCACTAATGTGACTGCCTGAACATTAGCTGGACAAGGATGCCAGCAGACATGCTACCATGGATGTAGGCAAGCCCATGGGGCATCAACCCAACACAAAGAACTGTGAGCAGGCGAGGACCACTGAGAGTGGGAGAAATATCCAGGACTAACGGTCAGCCCTGAAAGCATACACACATAGCACACACAGACAGATGGGGGGGGGCTCAGAGCGTAAAGCACTTTACAATGTAACCCTGAATTTGATCCCCAGGACCCATATAAAAATTGGAGAGAACTGGCTTCCAAAAATTGTTCCCTGACCTCCACACATGCACTGCTGACATTCATGTGCTCACACTCTCACACATACTAATAATAATACATTGTAATACTGCCAAATGGTTTTTTAAAGTAGTTTTAGTGAAGATGAAGCAACTAATGACAAAGAAAACTACACAACGTTTTTGCTCAATGCAGGGTTTCAATGTCAGGGCTTCATGGATGCTAGGTAGGTGCTCAACCACTGACCTACTCCACTGAAAACAAGGAATATAAAATTTCTCTCTTCATTCATTTTCTTTATTATTTATTTATTTTTGAGAAATGGAGCTACATTGCCCAGACTGGTCTAGAACTTAAGATCCTCCTACCTCAGCCTCCTGAACAGCTGGGACATTATACACCGCTATTGTACCTACCTTCATAAAACTCCTTTATATGTGAGAGCAAGCAGGGCATGGTAGCACAAGCCTGTGACCTCAGCACTCAGGGAGCTACCATGCCCAGTAATAAAGTCTGCTATGTCTTAAGATGAGCGAGAGCTCACTATGCTGCCCAGGGTGACCTTGAATTCCAAAGTGCTTCTTCGCCTTACCACGCCAACAGCTGAGATTATAGGTACATGCCACTACACCTGGCTCTGTCTTCAAAAAAACTTTGTTCCTATTTTAACTCTACTTATTTTCTTTATAGGGAACAACCTGATAAAAGCCTGACCTTCAACAATCTACTCACAACTTATTATAGTGTCACTGCTCAATGTTTCTTATGTATTACTTAATGTTGATAAAGCCAATGAACTTACATGCTGGTCTTTCAATTCCCCCTGACATCCATAACAAAATCTGAAAAAGAAAAGTTTGACAATCATTTTTTTTTCACTCATTAAAATACTAAATAAAAGCTTAGTACCTAGAATCCTTCAAAAAGTAATTGTATTTACACATTAGAGAACATTTTAAGAAGTCAATAGTTCTTTTAAACTTAAGAGTATGGGCTATCGCACTTTTGTTATAGTCTAGCCTATTGCTCCTTGTAGTACACTCAATAAACCCCATTTACAATTTCTCAGAACAAGAAAAATCATACAATATGTCCCAGGTCATCACATAACCCAAAACTTAGTTCTTATTTTCATTATGACTAAATAAACACATGCTTTCCGAACTGCAATTGTATGAGAATTTGATAGTTAATTGCAAACTTACTTTCCTACATAATTGACATTGTTCAGCTCTAATCTTTCCCTGAATAGTCTAACAGCCTTTGAACACATTTAACTCTCAGGAAATCTAGGGTTTCCCCTCAAGACATCTTTCTTGGAGAATTCTGACTTTGCAAAACAAGACTGACTAGTCCCCCTAAACAGATATCACTCTGATTTCTCCACACCCTTACCCTTAAGCTTCCTTTGGCATGTTTGCAGTTAGATACCTGCCCATAGACCCCCACGTCCATCTCCTCCTCACTCCTCCTTCTTCCAGGACATCTCCCAAGTAACACTTTTTTGTTAAGCAATTTCTATAATATTTTATTTATGTATCTATATGTATGTGTGTGGGTATGTGTGTGGTATGGCATGAATATGGAAGACGGGACAACTTCCCTTGCTCCAACATGTGGGTCCTCAGGGCTGAACTCAGTCATCATGCTTGGTGTCAGGTACCTTTATGTACTGTGCCAGCCTCCCCCAGAAGGGTCTTTGTGAGACCTCAAAGCCTGAAAACATCTTTATGTTTTCATAACAGGAAGCTGACAGCTGGCGTGGGGATATGATTTAAGTCAGTGATACTTTTCCCTCCAAATTTGAAGGTGAATGCTCTGGTTAGCACCTAGTATAGCTGACAGTTTTAATATTTTGCTGCATATTTTGAAATTTCAAAATTGTGTAAAAAAATTAGATTTTTTGTTTGTTTGTTTTGGTTCAGTTTGGTTTTTCAAGACAGGGTTTCTCCATGTAACAGTCCTGGCTGTCCTGGAACTCGCTCTGTAGACCAGGCTGACCTTCAACTCATGGAGATCCACCTGCCTTTGCCTCCTGAGTGTGAGGATTAAAGGTGTGTGCCACCACCGCCAGGCAGAAATTATCTTTTTAGAAGAAAAATACTTTGCTACCCTACAATGTATCTTTCACATTATTCTCACAGTGAACCTTCAACATAAATTCACCTGTTTCATATTTAACTCTCCTATTTACACCACAGTACAGCTTTTACTCTACTTTCTGGCATATTTATTCAACTACGAGGCTTCGCACTTCAATACAACTTAAAACAATTCAACCTGGGTTTTGACTTGTCAATTTGGGCCAATATAAAAACTTTCATAATGCCTAGTATCAGTCAAGCATGGGTAAACAGTGAGTGTATAAAGCCTTTTTAAAGGATAACTTTGGGTGGCACACACCTTTAATCCCAGCACTTGGGAGGCAGAGGAAGGTGGATCACTGTGAGTTCAAGGCCAGCCTGGCCTTCACAGCAAGTTCCAGGACAATCTCCAAAGTAATACAGAGAAACCCTGTCTCAAAAAACCACAAAGAAAAGGGATCTAGACATGCTTGTTTAAAATTACTTATTTTCCCATGTGGTATGTGTATGCACATAGAGGCCAGAGGTTGATAAGGAGTGTCCTCCTCAATCATTCTCTACCTTGTTTTAAGAAACAGGAAACAGGGTCTCTCAATGAACCTGGAGCTCACTGAATGGCTAGGCTAGCTGGGCAATGAAATCCTGGGGTCCACAAGCCATCTCTCCATCAGCATATAAAATTTCTTCTATGATATTTTTAAGCGTGAAAAGTGATAAATAAATGCAAAATTATTTGGTGATCAAAGGTTCCCAAATGCTGATGCTCTTAAAAAATAGAAAATATTCATTTCCTAAAAATCTATAATCAAGCAGGGTAGTGGTGGTGCACACCTTTAACCCTAGCACTCAGAAGGCAAGATGCAGGCAAACGTCTCTAAGTCAGAGGCCAGCCTGGTCTACAAAGTGAGTTCCAGGGCAGCAAGAGCTACACAAATAAACCCTGTCTTGGGGAAAAAAAAAAAAAAAAAGATTTATTTTCATTTTAATTATGTATATGCATCTGTGTATGGGTATATGCAGATGAGTGTAGATATAGGATAGAAGGCACAGAATCTCCTAGAGCTGGAAGTACAGGCAGGCAGCTGTGACAGTTGTGAGGTGCTGGGAACCCAACCTGGGTCCTCTCCAAGAACAGTACACACTCTTAACCACTGAGCCATCTTTCTAGGCCCCAGCCCCAACCCCTACCAAACCAATGTACCATCACTCTTAACCACAAATATATGAATTTTTTTAGGGAAATAAACAGATTTCTAGAAATACAAAGTAGTCTACATCTCATTTCCTATATTAAAAGTAATTTTACACAAATTAATATAACTTTAGGTGAAAATTGTTTCAAACATTAGTTTACCACTGTAGCATATAAATTAATCAAAACTCTTATACCTTTCTCCTTTATAGTCTTCTAGAGAAATTTCTTGAAAAGCATCCAAAGGAAATAAATGATGGTAAGATCGTGCCAAGTGAGGTGCAGACACCAAAGTAAGACCTAATGTGTAAAGACAGAAATATTCATAAGCACAACCTCATAAGACAACAGTTGAAAAGCCAAGTAATACACTTAGAAAAATTACTTCCAAGTGTTTTTATTTCTATTTTTCTAGTGGTGGGGATCAAATCTAGGGCCTCACACACACTAAAACCTGCCGTTATGCTATATATCCAGCACTCAGTATTTTTTGGACCTTGAATGTTCTTTACCTGTAGCCATAAAGAAAGTTTATAGGATAGAAATCATTCTGTCACTAAATGCATAACCTCTCTTGGAAAACTATTTCCTTACTTAAAAATGAAAGACCTTAGAATTATATTAATTCCTTATTCAACTTATATATAATGATTCTATTAAAAGCCCAAAAATGTCTATTAAATCTATTATAGTGCTTTTAAAGAATACATTTATCAGAAAGAGAATCAGGAAACATCTATAATGCTATGTTTAGTCTTAGAAGTGGATTATTTCTATTTCCTTTATATAAATTAAGTACATAATAAGCAGGACTCAATATTTTTGTTTATTTCAGCAGCTATACAGATAGGAATTATTTAATACTAATTTACTGAGTAAAGGATAATATGGCTCTTACCACATATTTTACATTCAACAGGAAGCTCACAGTACTTTGCTCGACACTGTGGGCAGAAATAACCTCCCAGTGTAAGTCCTGGCTCAGTGCTATTATCCAAATGCCTATGAGAGAAAACAGTTATTTTTAAAAGGTGAAACAAGCTAACGTGTATAACTCATCCCAACTCAGAAGACAGAGGCAGGCAAATATCTGTGAGTTCAAGGCCAGCCTAATCTAATAGTAAGTTTCAGACCCACCATGGCCACATAGTGAGAATCTGCCTATATATATATGTATGTATGTATGTATGTATGTATGTATGTATGTATGTGTATATATATATGATAAATGAGTAAAATTTTTACTTGAAAAAATGTATTCCTCATTGCTCACTAATGTTATCCTTTTTTCTGTCTTTAGTTTGAAGTTTCTCTTGCTGTCTCTGAATTTTTTTTCTTTCTCTTATCTCTTGCTCTGTCTAATCTGTTAATCCTATACAGTGTGTTTTTCTTTTCTTAAGATTTATTTTATTTTTAATCAGGGGGATGGGGTTGTGCACATGAGTACAGGTGTCCTCAGAGACCAGAGGTGTTATATTGCTTGGACCTGGAGTCTTAACCTGATGGGAGATGTCATTCTGTAAATATGTTTCTCATACTGGTTAATGAATAAAGCACTGTTGGCCAATAGGAAAGCAAGATTGGCGGGACTAGGAGACAAGGAGGATTCGAGGAAGTAGTAAGGAGGAGTCAGCATGGAGAGACTGGAGAGAGCAGAACGCCAGCCCCTCACCAGTAAGATGAGACCATGTGGAAGTACTTAGATTAAATAGAAATAGGTTAATATTTAAGACAAAGCTAGCCAGTAAGAAACTAGTAACAGGCCAACAGCGTTATATCTAATACAGTCTGGGCCCAGGCCTGTGGAGGAAAAACCTTACTCCTAACATAAACCACTGAGCCATCCCTTCAGCACTTCCGGTACACGTTTCTTCACAGACATTATGTCCTTCATTTCTAGAAGTTTGATTTGAGTCTCTTTATACATTGTCAAGTTCTCCTTGGCTATTTTAATAGCCATCTCCAAATTCCAGTGTCTTCTGGCTTCCATTCTGTAATTTTTCTTTGTTATTCTTGTTCTTTCATACTCTAGGGAAACTTGCCCCCACCACATACACACTAACTTCCCTCTCTCCTTCCCACCCTTTCATCCATTCCCTCTCCCTTCCCAGTGTCTCTACATAACCTAAGCCAACCTTGAATTTGCCATGACCTCCTCTCTCATCCCCCAGTGCCGGCATGTAACCATGTGCATCAGCACAGCTGGCTGCCTAGTCATTCCTACATGCTGTCAGATATTGTAAATTGTGTTATTCTGGGTGCTAACTACTTTCTCCATAAACACTTCGAGCTTTGTTTTAGAGTAAAGTAACTTAGATACTTACTGATCAACTCAAAGTTTGTTTTAAGTATGACTACTCTGGTCTTGATCAGACAATGAACCTAATCTGGTCCCATTACTATGGGCTCCATTAAATGTCTTTTGAACACTTTACCACTTAGCTCATCCCCAGCCCTCCTTTATCTTTTCATTCTGAGAAGAGCCTCCCTAAGTTACCCAAGCACCCACCAAGATTAACTTTTTTAACTTTCTATTCCCACTATTTTTTATCATTAGAATAAACAAGTAAATATATCTACTCATATCCGAATTTTTATTTTTATAACTTTTGAGATAGGATCTCATTTTATAGCCCAAAGTGACCTGAAACTCAAAACTATCACCTTGCCTTAGTCTCTTGAGTACTGGAATTACAGATGTAAGTCAGCACGCCTCCCCCACCCTTAATTTAGATGACTGGCAATATATTATACATAGCATACATAGTAATATATCCTAACCATCACAGCATAGACATTTACAAAGATAATTGCTTTTTATGGCTGTATAGATAGTATTAGTTTATAAAAATCATTAAAAGCCTTTAACCCCAGAATTTGGGAGACAGAGGCAGACGGATCTCTGTAAGTTCAAAGGCAGCCTAGTCTACAACGCGAGATTAAGGACAGGCTCCACAGCCAAAGAAAAATCCTATCTTGGAGGAGAAAAAAAAAAAAAAAAAAAAAAAACCACTGTATTTCAAGACCTTCTAATTTTAAGTTAAAACTTGGAAGAATGAATTTTATTTTCTTTTCACTTATTTATTTATTTAGGTTTTTCGAGACAGGATTTCTCTTTATTGCTTTAGAGCCTGTCCTGTCACTCTGTAGACCAGGCTGGCCTCGAACTCACAGAGATCCACTTGCCTCTGCCTCCTGAGTGCTAGGATTAAAGGTGTGTGCCACCAATGCCCAAATGAGGAGTGAATTTTAAATGTTAAAATGTCACTGACAATTGCTCTTTACTTACGCCATGCTGAAGGATGGTTTTGCATCCTGATCGGACAAAGAAGCAATGGTATGCTGAGGGAATCCTTTATAAGTATAAAAAAATAAAATAAAATAAAGCATTAACTTTTTATAGACAACAGAATTTTAGAACTATGAATATAAAAACAGTCCTAACAGAAAAATCAACCAACTTGTAAAAAGCTCTTTCCTTCTCTTAAGTACATATGTGTTTATCATAATATGATGAAACTCTAATTCCCAGGTATAGGAAAAAGTAGAGGAAAAGGGAGAATGACCTAGCTACACATATGTCCTCACGTTCCAAAATTTATATTTATATTTTAACAATAGTGCATCTAAAAAGAGTTCACACATTTTATATAGTTTCTAATACAACTAAATATATGTTACATGATATAGTTTCTCTTTATCTAAGCACATATTTCTGTTTACATTTTTGAAATTTGAGGGAATAGATATGGGAGAAATTGGAGGAAGAAATAGGACATAAATATGACCAAAATATATTGTATTTTATATGACTGCATGAAAATATTATTAATTTTTTGAGATGCACAAACTTTTCATTTATTTTCCATATACAATTTAAAAATATGAATACATATTCAGGAAAAAGCAGCAACCAGAAGAATGAGATCAAGATATAAAATGAAAAATGAATCTACAAATAAAAACAAATAAATGACTAAGGGAAACTCAGTGTATGGCCATGTGTTTAGTATGTACAAGGCCTGGGGTTTAATGTCCAGCATCACAAAATAATTGAATAAATGAACAAATAAAAGCAAAGGTGCCAGGCAGTGGTGGTGAGCATCTTTAGTCCCAGCACTTGGGAGGAAGAGACAGGTAGATCTCAGCGAGTTCGAGGCTAGCCTGGTCTACATAGTGAGTTCTAGGTCATCAAGACTACACAGAGAAACCCTGTCTCTCAGAAAAAGAAAAATTAAATGACCATTTTATGACCATTCATTTCCTACTCCCTGAAAATAAAAAATAAAAAATAAAAAAACCAATAATTTGGTGTACTCTGCAACTTTCTGTCTTTGCAATTTGTATGACATACTTTGATTATATGATACTTTGTAGCTTATTTATCAAATTTCTTACAAGTATTTTTCATTAAATAAAATACCTTTATACCCTCCTAGCTTAACAAAAAGGCCAGAAGTGCTTTCATATGACATGACTATAAGTAGCTTTAAATTTCTCTTCATTTTATAAACATGCTATTTTTCTATTGTTAAAGATTTAAGAAAAAAATCTTAAATGTCAAAGCAGTAACTTGCACAAATGAAAGCAGAATGCCTAGTTTGTACCAAAGGCCTACATGTAAACAACACAAAAGAAACACATACCCATACGAATGAGAGAACATTCGGAGCTGGAGCTGGCAGGAGGAGGGCTAACATGATGTGTTAGCAACTCTTTGTAATGGGTTTCATCCAAAATAACATGGTATGTGCCTGACAAGCAAAAGCAAACCACAGCAGTTATAAAAAGGAAGGAGTTTCTGTGTAAGTTTAATCATGAAAATAAACAATTCATTAAGTAAATTATCATTTAAAAAATCATCTCCCAATCAATTCTTTAGGCATAATAGTAACTAAAATTAAAGCCAAGCTACACAGTCTTTACAAAGTATTACATATAGTGAGGTTACTAATTTTTTTAAAAATTATAACTCTTAACATTAACTTACTGAAAATTCATTGCATTTTAAGTGGTCGCTTAGAAAAAAAAAATCAATGTAATGTTTAAGATTGCAGCTATATTTTGGACTACTGGCACAAAATGGTTTCAGTTTAATGGTATAAAACTTCCTACTTAATAAATTATTCGGTAATTACAATTATTGAAGACAGTAGATATATACCACCAGTTTCACGAGCAAGTACAGTGCAAACTCGAACCTCTGCAGACAATCCAATAACAGACACTCTGATTTTAGCTGCCTTCAGGGTCTTCATAAGATCCAAACAGATGAAAGATTTCAGGAAAAAAAGAAAAATATTTATAAATACTAACTTTGAAAAATAGTGTTCTGAAATTTATTACAGAATTTTCTTTAGAATCTAGCTTAAGTGTTGGTCCTACCTTAATAAGATCATAAATATTAGATGGATCACAGGTTGTCAGGCTACTGAAGATGATTAGGACTTCTCTACTTGTATGTCCAGGCATGTGTCTATAAAGAGAGGTGAAGATACACGTCAATAGATTAAGCAAATTACACTAGCTAAATGTTTATCTAAAAGGGAGAATACACATGGCTTATAAATTTAAGCTACAAAGTGTTATAATGTATGTTAGTAAAGTTACAGCCAATTCATGATTATTATTTGGTATTAAATTCTAAATTTCACCAGGTAGTGGCAGCACACACCTTTAATCCCAGCACTTGGGAGGCAGAGATAGGTGGATCTCTATGAGCCCAAGGCCAGCCTGGTCTACAGAGTGAGTCCTAGGATAGCCAAGGCTACACAAAGAAACCCTGTCTCAAAAAAAAAAAAAAAAAAATTCTAATTTTAATCTCTCTCTCAACATGGTCTTACATTAACTCACACTCATAAGCTTTCTGCCTTAGCCTCTGTAGTACTGGTATTACCAGCATCCAATGCCATGCATAGCCATTCAATTTATACTCAATTTTTTTCATAATTCTTCTGTACTAATGTGAATTTTCTAATATTTTTCTAAGCCCATTACAGATATACTTTAACTGATACAATATCAATCAAAAATAACCAACATAGGATTAGAGAGATCGCTCAGTGGTCCTGAGTGCAGAAGTCCTGAGTTCAATTCCCAACAACCACATGGTGGCTCACAAACATCTACAATGAGATCTGGTGCCCTCTTTTGGCCTGCAGGCATACATGCAGACAGAACACTCTAAACATAAATAAATCTTAAAAAAAAAAAATAGCCAACATTAAAAAAAACATCATATATGACATTTTAGATCTTTTCCTACTTAATTCTTTTGTTAAAACAGGCATCATGAGAAGACCTAATACAACTCACAAAAAAAAAAAAATCTGAAACAATTATAAATAATAATGTAAACTGGCTATGGTTGTGATGCCTGTGATCTCAGCACTGGGGAGATAGACACAGAAGAATCAGTTCAGGTCATCCTCAGTTACATAGCAAGCTGGAGGGTACCTGGACAACATGGGAAAATACTGTCCTGAGGGAGGGGAGGGGGGGCCTGAAGAGATGGCTCGGCAGCTACAAGTATGTATGCTCTTACAGAGGCCCAGAGTTCAAGTCAGCACCCATGCTGGGCAGTTCACAAATGCCTGTAACTCCAGTTCCAAGGAATCTGACACTCTCTTCTGGCATGTTCTACTCATGTATACATACATGCACATGCACACACACAGACACATAATTAAAAATAAAATAAATAAAATTTAAAATACTAACTTTAGGGTTTGCATAGCCATGCTTAAGGAATTATAAAGAGAGGGTTCTCCATTGCAGGTCATATCTACAGCTTTCTTCAAAGATGTTATGTGTTTTCTTGGGTTTCCTAAAGTAAAATGAAATAACTTTTAATAATACTCTCTCTATATATATAAAGCATGTTGTTTTCCTAAACTGTACAAATTTATGATTTACAGAATGACTTCAATTTCTATTTTTATCAATTTGGTATTTTTATCAGAAATGTTTGGTCTCCCTTCATACTGGAAATAATATATACATATGTATATTTGGGTCTTTTCTAGAATAAATTGTCTATTTTCACTTTCTAACAAATCTAAACAAATGACATGATGTGTTGGAAGACACAGACCTGCCTAGCGGGAGGAGTACCGACACCCAAACCTACATCTCCTGGTTCTCTATTTTCTTCCCTCACCACCATCCCACATAATCCACTGTGTTGTGGGCACAGGGGAAATGCAGATTACCTCAGTGCCAGTGTGGCTTACAGCAATGGGTGACTGTAAGGAGTGGAGCTGTCCAAAAGTCGTATGAGAGTCTCTAAAAGTTATTTCATCTTCCCAACATATGAAATCACCCCCATCTACTGAAAACTCTTTGAATTTGAGGACAGGAGGGAAAGAAAAGAGTTGACGTATCTTCCTCAGAGAAACACCCCTCCCTCAATCACATGATATTCCTATTTAGTCTGTGGTGCTGACCTTCCATTCTGCTATGGGCACAGCGTAATCTAAGCCAACCAACAAAACATTTCACCTCCCTGGCTGCTTCAACAGCTGTTGGATACACAAACCATGAGTAAGATCAATAGGAATCCTCCTCTCCAGGAATCCCACTGAAGTTACATTAAAGCTATGAAATAAGCTGGCCACATAAACTTGGGGCTATTAGAAGACATCATTTCTCTTAAGAGAATAAAGTAAGACAAAGCCAGGATTCCTAGAAACAGCTACAAGAGAAATCAGCCCACCTTTGAATACATGCCAATTCCTTTTGGAGTATGTTTGTGGTTGGTTTGGTTTGGTTTGATGTGTATGGCTGTTTTTGGCTGCACATCTGTGAACCATGTGTGTGTCTGGTATCCCGACAGACCAGAAGACGGCACCACACAGAACTGGAGTTACAGGTGGTTATGGCCGACGTGGGAGCTAGCAACTGGACTTGGTGTTCTTAACTACTAAGCCATCTCTCCTGCCCCTGGCTTTGTTTCCTATGATCCTGGGGATCAAACCTAGGGCCTTATTTATTAAGCTACATCCCTAACAATACCTAAGACAATCCCTCGTTGGGATTATTGTCAACTGATTTCCTGGCACACTTCTGGCAAATGTATATTTGATTCCTTATGGTTACAGTAAGAACTATTAGTGAACAAAGTATGTTATATCCCTTATGAGTACTAATAGAACAAAGTATGTTATATCCCTTATGAGTACTAATAGAAAAACACTAATTTAAGAAATAGTGTATTTTACAAAACATAATGATGTAAATTTGTAACAACATATATAATAAAGAAAATTGCCATTAACTTATATGTATGACAATTCTGCCTGCATGTATATGGTCAGAAAAGGGTGCCAGAGTCCCCTGGAACTGGAGTAACTCAAACTGGAGACAGTTTGAGTCCCCATGTGAATGCTGAGAACTAAACTGGAGTCCTCTGTAAGAACAAGGGCTCTAAGCCATTTCTATAGCCATTTATAAATAGTCCAATTCAACTTTTATGCTTTTAAAATTAGACATTTTTTATTTGAGAATTATATGAATTTTCTGGATAAGTAACAATTAGGCTATCTTATTTTCAGAATAAGAATGTGTATTTAACCCCAATATCAACCCACATACCTATGAACACCTAATTTTTGATAAAGAAGCTAAAAATATAAAATGGAAAAAAGAAAATATAATTCAACAAATGGTGCTGGTATAAATGGCTATCAACATGCAACATAAATCCATGCACACTGAACCTCATAGAAGAGAAAGTGGGAGATACCCTTGAACAAATTGGTACAGGAGACCACTTCCTAAAAAGAACATCAGTTGCACAGACTTGGGAGCAACAATTAACAAATGGGACCTCCTGAAACTGAGAATCTTCTGTAAAGCAAAGAACACAGTCAACAAGACAAAACGGCAGCTTATAGAATGGGAAAAGATCTTCACCAACCCCACATCTGACAGAGGGCTGATCTCCAAAATACACAAAGAACTCAAGAAAGTAGACCTCTAACTACCAAATAATCCAATTAAAAAATGGGGTACAGATCTAAACAGAGAATTCTCAACAGAACAATCTCAAACGGCAGAAAGAAATTTAAGGAAATGTTCAACATCCTTAATCATCAGGGAAATGCAAATCAAACCCTCTCTGAGATTCTATCTTACTCCAATCAGAATGGCTAAGATCAAAAACATCAATGACAACTTATGCTGGAGAGGATGTAGAGAAAGGGGAACACTCCTCCAATGCTGGTGAGAATGCAAACTTGTACAGTCACTGTGGAAATCAGTATGGCAATTTCTCAGAGAAGGATCAACCTACCTCAAGACTCTGCTTCACTGCTGAAATCAGTATGGTGATTTCTCAGAAAAGGATCAACCTACCTCAAGACCCTGCAATACCACTGTCGGGCATATCCCCAATGGAAGCACATTCACACCACAAGGACGATTGCTCAACTATGCTCACAGCAACATTGTTTGTAATAACCAGATCTTGGAAACAACTAGATGCCCCTCAACTGAAGAATGAATAAAGAAAATGTGGTATATTTATACAGTGGAGTACTACTCAGTGGTAAGAAACAGTAGCATCCTAAAATTCACAGGCAAATGGACAGAACTAGAAAAAAAAAAAAAATCCCGAGTGAGATACCCAAAACCAGAAAGTAGATACCAAAGCAAAAGATACCTAGCCTATACTCCATAACCCCAGAGAAGCTTGAACCCTCTTCCAGAAACAGATGGAAACAGATGCAGAAATCCAAAACTAACCAACGGCCAAGCTCCTGGAGTATAACCAAAGTGAGGGAGGAGCAATAATATAAACAAAGGAGTCAAGACCATGATGGGGAAACCCACAGAACCTGAGCTAATGAGAGATCACTGACTCAGGTCTGACAAATAGGAAACCTGTATTAAGACTAAACCAGACTCCCTTAATATAGGTGACAATGGTATCACTGGGACAATATATGTGACCACTGGCAGTGGATCCAAGATCTAACACTAATGCACAAACTGACTTAGTGGAGCCCATTCTATATGGAGAGACACTTTGCCCACGCGGGGGTGTGGGAGTGGAGAGGTGCCTTGGTCCTGCCTCAACGAGATGATGGGACAGACTTAGTAGACTTCCTAGGGGAGGCTTTACCCTCTCTGAGGAGCAGATGGGAGACAGAGGGAAGGTGGGGGGAGCAGGAGGAGAGGAGGGAGGGGGAACTGGAATTGAAATGTAAAAAATAAATATTTAAAAAAAAGGATGTGTATTTAAATAAACATATTTACTTCCAATGCAATACATCCAACATTTCAGAACTCAATTTAAAACAATTAATAGTAGGCCCCAAAGTTTAACAGAAAGACAGTAAGCTGTTCAACTAAAATGCATAGAAGAAAGTGTCACTTTACTTATCAGGGAGCCACATGGGCAAGATTACAGAGTTAGGTAAGCAAAGTCCTTGAGCCTCGCAAAGATACTTTTATGCATACCTGAGAGTTCAGTCAGTTTTTCAGCTCTTTTACTCTTAGTCACAATTATTCCAATCTCAAAATGAAAAAAAAAAAAAACAATTATTTTAATATAACAAATTATTTCCTCTTCATAAAAAATACATGGACTATCAATTATTAACTGCAAAAGAAATTAGGAACATATATGAAATTTTTTCTCATGGTGTTTTTGACAAATCTAGCAATGAACTGACTATACATGTTTAACTTTTAGAGTTATTTTGCTCTACACTATTAAGTATACCAAAAAATAGGTACATAATCTGGTTTCCTCAATACTTCACGGAAAATATGTCTCATTTTTTAAAAAATAAACTATATTTGGCAGCAAAACGGGAATTTAGTTCTGAATTCTACCATTTATCTACATACCTGACTGATAGGATTTTGATCAAAGTATTCTTCTACAAAATATTCCAACAACTGTTGAAAGAAAATTAAAAGGAAGTATTATATAAAGACAAAGCAGCAATAATAAAGATCATGTATTTACTAATCTATTTGTTAAGCAGCACTTCTCATGACAAGGGGAAGACAAGGTGTCGGTGAGATGTCTCACTGTGTAACCCTGGCTAGCCTCCCCTCACTCACAGACCAGGCTGACACTGAGCCTGGGGTGGTGCCCCTCTCTCTGCACCCCGGGTGCACAGGGCCAGGTGCCTGCTGTCCCAGCTACACTGGAAGCAGGGGCTCCTAAGGCAATGAGTTTAAGGTCAGCTGAGGAAACACAGCAAGACTGGATCTTGAAATTCAAAACCAAAACAAACACGGATCCCCTTGGACTTGCCTAAAACAATGTAAATGAGGAAAAGATCCAATGAAGAGAGAGGTAAGAGCAGCATCAAGAACAGGCACTAGTAAATTAGAACGTTAGCAGGACGTTGGTGCACACACCTTTAGTCCCAGCACTCTGGAGGCAAGAGGCTTACGCCCACGCTCTCTCTCTCTCTCTCTCTCTCTCTCTCTCTATCTATCTATCTATCTATCTACTCTGCCATCTGAGTGTTGGGATTAAAGGTGTGTGCCAACACTTTACAGCTTCAAGTCTTTTTGTTTGTTTGTTTTCTGAGACAGGGTTCTCTGTGTAGCCCCGGCTGTCCTGAAACTCACTCTGTAGACCAGACTGGCCTCAAACTCAGAGATTTGCTATGATTAAAGGCAAGTGCCGCCACCACCTCGTGGCTTCAAATCTTTTTAAAGAACTTAATTTTTTATTATCATGGTGTGTGTGTGTGTGAGAGAGAGAGAGAGAGACAGAGACAGAGAGAGAACATGCGGAGGGAGAGAGAGAAGAACATGCATCACAGTGCCCTTGTGGAGGTCAGAGGACAACTTTCTATAATTAGTCAGATTTCTCCTTTCACCATTTTTCCTGTTTGTATTTTTTATTTTATCTTATGTATATGGGTGTTTTATGTATATGTATTTTATGTATATGGGTGTTTTATGTACATGGGTGTTTTATGTATATGTATTTTATGTGTATGGGTGTTTTATGTATATGTATTTTATGTATGTGGGTGTTTTATGTATATGTATTTTATGTACATGGGTGTTTTATGTATATGTATTTTATGTATATGGGTGTTTTATGTATATGAATTTTATGTATATGGGTGTTTTATGTATATGAATTTTATGTATATGGGTGTTTTATGTATATGTATTTTATGTATATGGGTGTTTTATGTATATGTATTTTATGTATATGGGTGTTTTGCCTCCATGTATACATCTGTGCATCACCTGTGTGCCTGGTGCCCGTGGAGGCCAGAAAAGGACATTGGATTCCCTGAAATGGGAGGTTATAACCAGTTATAAACTGCCATACTGGTGCTGGAAATTGAGCCTGGGTCCTCTGGAGGAATAACTAGAACTCAGGTTGCCAGTCTTGTATAGCAAGCACCTTACTCATGGAGTCATCTTGCTGACCCATTTCTTTGTTTAAAAAAAAAATATTGTGCTGGAGAGATGGAGATGGCTCACTGGTTAAGAACACTAGCTGCTCTTCCAGAGAACCTGGGTTCAATTCCCAGCACCCACATGGCAGTTCACAACTGTAACTTCAGTTTGAGAATCCGACACCCACATACATGCAGACAAAACACCAACGCACATAAAATAAATAATTTTTAAAAATTACTGTTGGAGAATTAATTCATAACATATTTATAAACTAGTTCTTAGAATAAAAAAAATACTTCATAAAATGATCTGGCAGCATTTCTACTTAGTGAACACTTGTTATTAGCTGGAAAAACAAAACAAAACAAAATTTCCTACATTCTTAAACAATACATACATACATACATATATATGTCTGTATATGTATATGTGAGAGTGTGGTTATGCTTTCTCTATATTTAGCACAGATTTAAGTGGTTTTACTATACCTTTAAAGTACAAGTCAACCTATTGGGCTTTAAATCTTGATCCTCCATTGTTCTCGAACCATCTACTACCACATAAAGGTGGCGCATCTACCAAAAACAAATGAGGGAGAAAATTTCCACGAACATTTTTTAGAAGAAGCAGAAATATCATTTAGTATTCAAATATCCTATACATACATTTTAAATATATTCTTTTAAAAAGTAGCTGTTTTATCATTTATTTTGTCAAGGCAGAATAGTCTTATGATCCAAACTAGTTCTGCACAAGTCAAAGAAAAAAATCATAACATACCATTCCAAGTCGGACTTGTCCATGGTGCTCAAACACTCTGTTAAAATTATAAAAAATATTTTATTTCAACACCATATGCTACCAAAAACTCAATAAAACAATTACTCTGTACTTTTTATGAATTATTGACTTCTGGAATACACATGACAGTCTCTGAACACCACTTTCCTGGGGGCAGGCTAGTTGCTTGTTCCTTACCCTGAATCAGACAACTACAGATGAGCTTCCCCACCAAGCACGCAGCTAAAAGGAAGTGCTAAAGATGTCTAGAACAGGACAGAAAGGCTTCAAGAATGTATTTTTCTTTTGTAACACTTTCATATGAGCATTTCATACCTTTTTCTTTTTGCCTTGAAGAGAATATCTTCTATAGTTGCTTTGAGTGATCCAGTTTCATCTTCTTTAAGAATTTCCCTGTAGGCAATATTTATTTGTTTGAAAAGATAAGCTAAAAATACTAACCCAACAAAAAATTATGATGTGCAAAGATTTGTGTGTATTTAATGTATGTATATATGTATGTATATGTTTGTAGCACCAGAATCCACAGTAGCCAAAAATTGGAACTGATCTAAGTCTCCAGCAAATGCTGAATGAATAAACTAAAATGCAGCACAATAGTCCCATAATAATATGGGACACTATCCAGCAATTACAAAGAAACATATATATGAATGAGCTTTGAAATTCACATAAAATATACAAGGAAGGTGAATTTATAAATTGTGGATTCATAGTTAGCTACAGGGGACAGAAACAGAATGACTATGAAGGAACTTAATGCTATGATTAAAATGTTCTAAAAGTAGTTTATGGCAAAAGCTATACAAAAAAACCAGTAAATTGTCTTCAAAAAATTCACCCGATTATACATTGAGGTACATGAATTTTAACATACATAAAACACACTTTAATAAAACTGAAGTTAAAGAGAAAAGAGACGATGTCTACAACGTGGGACAATTACACTCTACGTACCATGTTCTCTCGTAGCCTCCTTCCCACCGCTTAGTTCTCTCAGGTTCTTCATCCATGTTTTTTATATTGATATATACTGATTCAACACTGTAAAAAAAAAAAAAAAAAAAACAAGTTTTCTAAAGATGGTTATTACAAAATGAATCTAATTACTTGATAGTTAAGGACAAAGTTTAAAACATCAGAATATAAAAATACATTTTATTCTAGTAGTTTATTCAGTAATTATGTAAAAATACCAAGTTGTCATGAAACTATTGTTTTCTATTTCCAATAAATGATATTAATACTTCAAACATGGAACCAATAAAAATAAACATATTTTTGAAACTTGTAAAAACAAATAAAACTTGTTCCATGGACATGTCACTGGACAAGAGTTCTGAGGAATGAGTATGAGATTAACTATAACCATCAATTATAGCTGAGTGCCCAATAAAAAGCAATTCATTGTTCTTTCTCTCCTTTGTGTAAGATTGAATTTTCTCATGATCACATTTTTTAAAATGAAATTTATCAGCCAGTTGCGGGTAGCACACGCCTTTAATCCCAGCACGTGGGAGGCAGGAGGATCTCTGAGAGTTCAAGGCCAGCCTAGTTTACAGATCAAGTTCCAGGTCAGCTAGAGATACATAGAGAAACCCTGTCTTAAAAAACAAAACAAAGAAAAAAGAAATTTATCCTTTATCAATAGGTAAATGTTACAGCTCATAATTCAAAAAAAACACAAAATTACACATGAAATATGACTTAACTAGTAAAGAAAAAATCTCTTTCATTGACAGAATTAAGATTAGGTGTTTTCTACATTTTAATTATTACATATATTGATATTACATTTACCTCTTTAATAATTTAAGACAAAATTGCTGGAGATGATAGCTCACAAGTATAATCCTGTCTGGAGCACAGCAGCAAGTCAGAGACCAGTGTGGTCTACACAGTAAACAATACTTCTGTTTTCCTTTCATTTTCATTTTTTTGAGACAAGGTATCTCTGTATAGCTTTGGAGCCTGTCCTATTACTCACTCTATGGACTAGGTTGGCCTTGACCTCACAGAGACCCCTGCCTCAGCCTCTTGAGTGCTGGGATTAAAGGTATGCAACACCTCCGCCCAGGTATACGTTATCCTCCTTTGATAGATAATACTGTATCTATAGACTAGAGAAAAATGGGCTAGGGATGTAGCTGGTTGAGCGAATGCTGTCCAGTATGCACAAAGCCATCAGTTGGAGAAAGGAGGCACAGGCTTTAACCCCAGGAGACAGGAGGGTCAAAATTCAAGGTTAGGGTCAGGATCTTGGAAGATAGAAGAAGGTGGGTTTCTGTGAGTTCAAGGCTGGCCTGGGATACATAAGACTCTGTCTTCAAGGGGTAGGGGGTTCCTGCAGACAGGAAGACCTCAGTTCTTATCGCAGCACTCATACAGACACACCTGTAATCCCGATTTGGGGGAGGGGGTAGAACTTGATGGCCAGCAAGTCTAGCCAACCAATATGCTACAGGTTCAGTAAGAGACCCTATCTCAAAAAAAGGTAGAAAATACAAGAAGATATTAGACATTAATTTCTAGGATACACACAAATAAACCATACACATACAACATATATTCACCAAAAATAGAAGACATATACATACATATGGCTAGGATGTCATGGCAATGTGGTCGATGTTTAAGACAAGATCTCACTATGTAGCCCTTCTGGGCAGGAACTCATTTAGCTTCCCAAGTGCTGAGGTTACAGGTATGAGCACTTGGCTTGAAACTTTTTTTAAAAAAAAATACAGAACTGAGCTGAGTGAGATAACCCACATTCAGGAGGCAGAAGCAGGAAGGCCTCTATTTTGTTTTGTTGAAAAGGGGCCTTTGTATATAGACCTGCTAGCCTGGACCACAGAATGTACACCAGGCTGACCTCAAACTCACAGAAATCTGCCTGTCTCCCAAGTGCTGGGCTTAAAGGTGTGTGTCCAGCTCTATGGTGAAGACAATGTGTGACATACACAGTTGACTCTGTCTCAGAAAATAAAATAAAACACACAACCAAAAAAAAAAAAAAAATGCTCACTGAAGAATAGACTATACATGGACTTATGGAATTTAAAATCTATTGACAAGTTAGAGAGTGGGAGACTACTTTCAAGAGGCTTTTTAATTAAACCTGCCGCCATCGAATATTATTAAACTCTTTTTATTTCCCACAGAATTTAGAAGCCTCTTCAACCCTGACAATTTGCCTTTTATAAAGGATAAAAATATATCAGTCTGGCAAATGCTTGCCCAGAAACTGCAGGGGCAGAACTAAGGCTGGAAAATGATCCACCGAGCTTCTTTCTCCCGGGTACACTCTTCCCTCTCAAGCCCAAACCCTCAAGCCACCGATGCCCCAGCGCAGTCTCCACTTCCACAAAGAGACTGCGGCCTTTCTGTTACTCTGATTTAGGAAAATCCCGCTTCTGGAGATGCCTGTCTTCCATCTTACTTCCATGTCACCTCCCTCGATCCCAATGGAACAGCCTTGACAGTATTTTACAACATGGGCTATTTCAATACTGTAAGTATCTTGGTACCATCCGTCTGAAGACTGTACTGGAGCCGGAAAGAAGGTGACTAAGCTGAACATTCCCATACCTTGTTTTCTGGACTTAATGTAAACACTAAAAATGAAAAGTTTGCTCGGGACGGGCATAGTGAAGTACGCCGGTGATCCCGGGGCGAGTGCACGCACACTTCGTATAATATTGCTTCTAAACTTTTAAAATGTGGTTCCCCCACATCCAAAATACTTCGTATTTTACTCTATTATTCTCGGAAAATTCAGAGAAAATAAGAACCAATGAGTAAAAAATTGTACAAATTTTGACTCTTAAAAAGGCATCTTACAGACGGGCGGTGGTGGTGGTGGAACACTCGGGAGGCAGAGGCAGGTGGGAATCTCTGTAAGTTCGAGGCCAGCCTTATTTACAGAGCGAGTTCCAGGACAGCTAGGACTGCTACACTGACAAACCCTGTCTCGAAAAACAAAAACAAAACGGGCGGGTGGGTGGGGGGGGGCATCTTACAGAGCATCTTAATTAAAACTGCTTATAAAGGGGAACCTAACAGGGAAGGAGTTAAAACTCCCCAAACTTCGTAACACTAACCCATTTCCTAGAACCTCAGCCATTACACCCATCTGCCCGCCGAGAAGCTACAATAAAGGTCCACGGAGGGTCGGTCTGCGGTGGAAAGAGCTGGGGATGCAATCGGCCGACACGGGAGCCGCAGCGCGCATGGCAACTGGCGAGGCTGCCTCAGCTTACCCTGCCTGGCGCGAGGATGACGGGCAGGGGCGACGCTGTCCGTGCTCCGCAGGAACGCACAGCTCCGCTGCTGGGCGCTCGCCCCAGGTCACCCAGCCAGAGGCAAACTAGAGCCCAGGCAGCGAGAGGCTCCGCGGCCTGCAGCCCGGCTCGGCTCGGCGGGCGGAAGCTGCCCGTCGCCCTGCACACCCCTCCGTCCGCCTTCCGGGTGCCCCCGAAGCCCGCCCCGGCAGTGCCCCTCGGCCTCTCCTCCAGGTCCCTCCGGTCCGCCTGGCACTCAGCCTCCAACACTCAGTGCCGCGCAGGCCTCCACTCACGGGAGCGCGGCAGGCCACCCTCGCCGGAAGTGACGTCAGGCAGACAGCGCCGCCGAAATCCGTCCGCAGCGCGCCGGGGCCACGCAGAAGCAGAAAACGTTCCGGCGCGGCTGCGGCAGGCGGGAGCTGGGGAGCGATGGTGCGCGCGAGCTTGCTGTGCCTTCGGGAACCCGGCTCTGCTGAGAAATCACCCAGAACAGGGACGTTCAACCATGCCAGCCGATGGGGGAAAGCTCTACGAATCAAGGGAACCACGTGCAGTCTGGGAGGCAGCAACATATTGGTGTTTGAGGGACGGCCAGAGTGAGCGTGGGGTCAGCTGAACTCGTGGATAAAACAACCAATTAGTGATGACTCCATGATCTCTACTGTGGGATACATTTCTGCAGACCAGACAGCTAAAACGACAAGTTCCGGATGTGTTCTACACCGGCTTGGGTGTATGGGTGTTTTTTGCCTGCATGCATGTCTGTGCACTATGTGTAAGCATTTTGACAGCTGGGATGAGATGGAAAAGGATTTTGGCACTCGGGAGTCACAGAATACTGAGTGTTACAGCTCAGATGGAAAGGTATTCTGGCACTCAGGAGCCAAGGAATACCCAGGTCACAGTAAGCATAGCAGCTTACAGCCCTGCTTCAGGGAAAGGTTTCCCCAGTGTATCAGCTCTGCTCTGGCAGGAGAGACTTTCCCCAGCGAAGTTACAGGCCCCTCCGCTCATGGTCATCCCTGCATCCCTGCTCCGATCTCACCCAAACCTCATTCAAGAGATTTCTTGGGAATAAAGAATCCAGGAGAGTGGCTGCCCACTGCCAGCCACAAACTTAAGAGACACGGGGTTTATATATGGCTTCTTAGGGGTGGAGCTTGCCCAGAGAGATTTTGGTCAGATTTCAATCCCCTGAGTTTAGGATGGCTAGATCTCGTACTCAGGGATTGGTTGGTTTTCTGCACAGGTTTAGGGTCAGATTTGGTTCTGGTTTCAGGGCCAAAGTGTGTTTCTTTCACTGGTCTTTTTTAGCTTTTTGGCTCTAGTTAGGGCCAGGGCATATCTCTTTCACTGGCTCTGATTCCATGGGCAAAGTGTGTTTCTTTGGCACCAGTTTCAGGGTCAGGGTGCATTTCTTTGGTTTTGGTGCAGGGTCAAAGTGTGTTTCTTTAATGGCCCTTTTCCCTTACAGTGTGTGCATGCCAAGTTGGGGCTGGTACAGGCAGGATATGGCATTGGATCCCGTGGAATTGAAGTTACAGAAATTTATTATCTGCCATGAGAATGGTGGGAACCAAATCCGGACCCTCTGGAGGAGCAACAGGTGCTTTTGATCGCTGAACCATCTCTACAGCCCCATCGCCTGATGTCATGCCCCCCACACACAGCTCACCTTAAACCAAAAATAGAAGAGGAATCCCCCTCCAATGACTTTAAAACACATTTCAAGAATATTTGTGAAGTGGGACATTCAGATTTTTCCCAGTCATAACTTTAGCTCTGTATTAATTTTAGAAAGGTGTTTTAAGACTAATGTAGGAAGACTGAGGGGCACCAGACACTGACCATATGCCCTCTGTGGTTTCTCTCTCGTTTCTTGACATTTTTCCCTGCTAACTCACTCCCTTCTGCAGTTCTCTTGGATTCTAGGAATGACAAATCTAATCCGTAAATGTCTTTATGACAAGGAACCAAAACTGCTCCCAAGAGCAAGCCTGGCAGGACAGATTCCCTCCCAGATGAGGGCAGTCACCTATGATGTGAGGTTGCACGCTGGCACCGGCGCACCTGTATAACAGCCCTGGCTGACCTGGAATTCACTTTGTAAACCAAGCAGGCCTCAAATTCACTGAGATCCACCTGCCTCTGCCTCCTAAGTCCTGGAATTAAAGGTATATGCCACCAGTACCGGCTAACCTTAAAACTTCTAAGCCTAGGGTACACACACACACACACACACACACACACACACACACACACACTACAATTTACAAGGTACATAAAGGTTCTGCTATAATAACCTTACTGTCTATCTTTTGAACCACCTCATTGGCCCCTACACATATACTTTTTATTTTATGTGCATTGGTGTTTTGCCTGCATGTATGTCTTCATGAAGGTGTCAGACACTCTGTAACTGGAGTTAGAGATAGTCGTGAGCTGTCATGTGGGTTCTGGGAGTTGAACATGGGTCCTCTGGAAGAGCAACCAGTGCTCTTAATCACTAAACCATCTCTCCAGCCCCCCACACATCCTTTTAAAACACAATTTGTGAGCAGGAGGTTTGGCTCAGCAGGCAAATATGCTTGCTGCCAAGCTTAACAAACCAGAGTTTGGTCCCTAAGACTTACACAGTGGACAGAAAAAAAAACCAACTCTTACAGGTTGTCCTCTGACCTCCAAAAACAATGGCTCCCATGAGTCCACACACATCAATATAACACAATATTTTACTTTATGTGCATCCGTGTTTTGCCTACATATATCTGTGGTGTGTGTGTCAGATCCAATGGAACTGCAGTTACAGACAGTTGTGAGCTGTCATGTGGGTGATGGGAACTGAACCTGTGCCCTCTGAAAGAACTGAACCTGTGCCAGTGTTCTTAACCACTGAGCCATCTCTCCAGCCCCAGTAATGTAATTTTTTTAAAAAAATTCTTTAAAACTTTTGTTTCAGTATCACTTTCTTTTTTTTTCATTTTGGTGTTTTGAGACAGGGTTTCTCTGTGTAACCCTAGCTGTCTGGAACTCGCTATGTAGAGAAGGCTGGGATTAAAGTCATCAATAACTTTGGGAGACAGAGTTACCCGGATATATTTATTATTTCACTTCTAAATCACACATTACTTCCATAATAAGATTACAAGTATCTTCGGATTTCTGTAGTCCGGACAGTGAATTGAGTATGGCTAGGCAAGCAGTCTAGCCATGTGTTGTATTTCTAACTACTCAACACCAATTAAAATTTTTGTATTCAGTGTATGTTTCTGTGTGTCGGTTTGTGCACATCAGCGCCGTGCGGCAGAGGCAAGAAGACTTAGTTACAGGCAGTTACGAGCCACGCTTTGTGGGTGCTGAGAATCAAACTTCGGTCCTCTGGAAGATGAGGAAGCGCTCACAGTCGCTGAGCCATTGCTCCAGTAACCCTCACCCCACCCCGTGTTTACAGTTTCATCATGTAATCCAGGCTGGCCTCAAATTCAGCAAGTGACAGGATTAAGGGAGTACATGACCATGCATGGTTCTCAGATGTCTTTTAGAGATACCAAAAGCCTGAGGCAGAGGAGAGTTAAGCAATTTTCTGGATAGAGCACATCCAGACTGAGACAACACACAGGCCACGGCAGTGCACAGTAGCAACAGCGAAACTAGGACACACCCTTCCGCATCTTGTCACAGCACATAAAAACATCCTGGTTGTATGTATTAATTACTCCCCTTAGTTCCAAAAAATCATTATTACCATTCTCTAGCACAGCATTTTCTAAAAACCATCCCAATTTACTTAATTTGCTCATCTCTTCCCATTATGAGAAATGCTAATATAAAACACTTGAGGGTAGCTGAATAGGGTGGCGCACCCCTGTAATCCTACCACTTGGGAGGCTTAGAAAGGAGGATGACAAGTACAAGGCCAGCCTGAGGTACAAAGTGAGACCTCATCTCCCAATAAATAAATAAGCTATGCCTAGTTCATTTATCTTTTCAAATAAGTGATTATGGGGCAGTAGAATCAGCCAGGAGAGCAAGTATAAATGCTAATTCTGGCTTCCCCAGATAAAACTTTGAAAAAGTCCAGACAGAAGAAACTTCATTTTAGGCTGAAGCAGGGATTTGTTGTGGTACGAAGAATTCCCACATGCCAAGCGAAGCCGGAGCCCCACAGTCCATGGGGAAAGCAGGCTGTGCCATGACCATTCTTGATCCATCCAGGTCCTAACAGACTGCAGATTTCAGAAGGATTTTGTGTTAGTGTGAAGTATTTCCAAGTGCATTCAAAAGGAAAAGAAGATACTTCATATACCTTGAGCAGAGCAGCCCTACATTACACAATGCATCAATGCATCACTCAGCAGTTAGTCTAGGATGAAAGAATAGATAGAATGTACTAGTCCACGATCAAGATTCCTTCAGTTCTATACACACTAGTGTGTGACGAGCTGTTAATGTGTCAAATTATTTACTTCCTTGTCCATAAAATAATAAGGAACAGTTGCATGCCAAGACTGTTATGATAATTAAATGAGATATCCTGTATGTCTGTATATACAACTTTAACTACAAATACTGGACTAGTATTTATTGTAAATACTAGACTTTATTTCAAAAATATAAAGTACATGTAACAAAACATTATTGCTAGCCAGGGGTGGCGCACACCTTTAATCCCAGCACTCTGGAGCCAGAGGCAGGTGGATCTCTGAGAGTTCTAGGCCAGTCTGATCTACAAGGCGAGTTCCAGGATAGCCAGGGGTGTTATTACACAGAGAAACTCTGTTTCAGAAACAAACAAACAAACAAAACAGTATTACCTCTTCTTTCTGGGCATTGAGTTCATGTATGTCTATACTAATTTTTCAGCTTTTCAAATGGAAAACATTTTTTCTATATACTTTTAATTTTAGAATAAAATCGCACACATAAGGCATCACTTTATCCATGGAACTTTTATAAGAAGGGTTATATTTTCGCAAACTACCCCCCCCAGAACAGTTTATTAGCAGAAAGCAGGTATGAGAACCATGGGTCAGCATGTATAAGGAACCTCTGAAGTTCACTCTAACCCCATGATTTGTTACGGAAACTGCCGTAACAATCAAGAGGATTCTCTAGGTGGGAACCAGCTAGTTAATACCAGCACCAACAGACACATCCTGTCACTGGCTTCAGGCCTGCAGAGGTAGCACCACACTGTAAAAGAATTATTTCTTTTATTCCACCATCTAATTTTATGGCACAGTTTTCTAATTGCTGCCACTTCATGTCCTTCATTCAACAAAACAGTTTCTTTGTGAAGGCACCAAGTTGGCTTCTGAACCTAAGCAGGAGCCAGGCTTGGAGTAGAACTGTAACCCACCACCTGGGAGGTGAGGACAGAAGAGCTGAAGCCACGCTGAACTAATCGTTAGTTCAAGGCCAGCTTGAACTACCTGGTGAAACCCTGTCCAAAACAAAACGACACAAAGTGCAGTGATTTCCAAGAACAAAGAGTTAGTTACAGTAAAGCCAGGGAAGGTAGCCGGGCAGCCCTTTCTACTGGGTGTCAATTCCAACTATAAAAATATTTTTTGTATTATGTTTAGCATACACAAAGTAAAATTTTTCTCCAATTTGAAAAAAATTGAACCATGTCTGCACAAAAACATCATTTAGAAGTTTATCTTTGGAAAATAATTCAAAATTGTACACATAAAAACACGTACTTCAATGCCTAGAAGGTATATAAAAAAATTTTTTTTAAATAGACCAAACGGGACTGGATGTACACAATCAATTTGGTTTATGTAGTATTGTCAATTAACTTTATGCCACTAACAAGAATTTTAATTTTTAAAGAACATCATGGGATTTACAGACAGGGCTGTTCTATGAACATTGTCCCATTTCCAGACAGATTAGATTTTCACTGCCCAAGGACTAGGAATTATCAACTAGCACAAAAGCCAAGATGGTGCACGCAAATGAAATGCTTGGGTGTAGTTTTGCACAGCTGACTACAACACTAATGACATCAGACAAGCACACGAAAGACAACACTAGGGTTAATACCTTACAAAATATGTACATTCCTGTGAGATACAATTCAAGTCATAATTATAAATGTAATTGGATACTCTGATACAGTGAAAAGATCTAGTGGGTTACAAAAAAAAAAAAAAGCATGTAAACTATCAAAGATTAAAAGCACTTTAAAAATACACAAAACTCTAGCCCTGGATTTAAAATGATCTTTCAAAAGTAAATATATATTTACAGTTTTTAAATTTCACACATTTGATAATTTTACATGATCTTAAGTATCAGGAAAAATGTGAAGTCAAAATAATCCTAATCATTTATGTTAAAGTCAATATAATAAGAAAAACAACAGTCGGGAAGATGACCGATGGAATGTACTGTACACAGATTTGCAGAGTCATAAAACAGACTTAGCCAAAACTACCTTTGGAAAGCAAGCAATTTCACTGTGGAGATATCATGGCAGGGACCCAACTTCCCCAGCTGAAAAGTGATTATAAATAACAGTCATCTGAAGGGCTGTTGAGATGACTAATGAGATGGCCTCTCCCTGGAGGGACACACTTTGGTTTTAAGACGTCATCGTCTGGCATGCTAAAGTTCACAACAGTCCCCAACATTTCATTCTCAATTACAAGAATCAATGCTGAAACTGTAGCTTTTTTAATTGGCGTGTTCGACCCAGTGGATTATCAAAAGCCATTTGTAAAACGCTTCAATCCTGATGACGTGAAACTGATGGGATTAAAGCTACGGAAACTTTGTCCTGATCACAAAGTTTTAACTTCCCAGATTAGAGTCCAAAGTCACTTAGCCTCTGAAGACAAATGCAGAGACTTCGGGCAGACAGATGTGCCTCATTTCTCCAACAGCAGCGCCTGCCTAAGTTTTCCGTCTGTCATAGTCCCCAACCATCCTCTTGATGTGTGACAATTTGCTCTTCAACTGCTTGCAGTAATTCCTCTTACTTTTATAATCTGCAGACTGAAAGGGAGAAAAATCAATCACATGAATGCAACAAACTAAACAACAGGTCTCCTGAGGTGTCACTGGGTACATCAACTACATTCCAGGGCAGCCCCCACGGCCAGGAATAGCTAGCCAACACCAAACTCCACGTTTTGTTCGTTTGTTTTGTTTCTGTGGACTTTTGTCTTGTCAGTTTTTTTGTCTTATTGGGTTTTTTTGTTTGTGTGCTTTGGTTTGGTTTTTGGTCTGGTTCCTTTTTTTATGTTTAAGAGAAAGAGAACACATGGAGTTGAAACACAGGTGGAGAGGATCTAGGAGGAGTTGGAAGAAGAGGGAAACAACAAAATATACTGCACGTGAAAATCTAAAGCAGGTCTCCTGAGAAATCAGTAATAAAAAAGAGAAAATACTAGTCATAAAGTGAGAATTCTTCTCTTAAGATTCATTTATCTATTACTTATGTACAGTGTTCTGTTTACTTGTTTCCCTGCAGGCCACAAGAGAGCACCAGATCTCATTACAGATGGTCGGTGAGTCATCATGTGATTGCTGGGAATTGAACTCAGGACCTCTAGAAGACCACATAGTGTTCTTTACCACTGAGCCATCTCTCCAGCCTAAATTGCTAAGTATTAAACGAGTATGTTTAAAGTGTTGGGCAATATCACTAACCACATAAGCAGGTAATTCTTTTTGCTCAATAATAGCTTTTAAGCTTTTTTTTTTAAACAAAGGATATGATCTTTTCTAAATATGTGTTGAACCTACAGAACTTTATGATTATAAATTATCTTAAAAAAAAAAAAAATCGGGTCAGTAAAATGGCTCAGGAGACAAAGGCAGAGGCTGATTGCCAGAGTTCAATCCCCAGAACCCACATGGTAGAAAGAGAATCAACTCCTAAAAAGTATCCTTTGAACTCCACACATATGCCACAGCACACAAGCAACTCCACACATACAAACATACAAACTTCATACATACACACCAGAAATAAATAGCTTTAAAAAAAATCCGTCAATAAATTTGTTGACAGTAGTCAATTAGGGAAAGGAAAATTAAGCAGAAAAATGAAAGACAGAAATATTTGCTACATATTATTTTATTTTATTTTATTTTCATCGAGTATCTATGTGTCTATCAGTGTGTGGATGTGTGTAGACACATGAGTGCAGTTGCCCATGAAGGTCAGAAGAGGATGCTGGATCCCCTGAGGCCATTCAGTGTGGATTCTCTGCCCCTGTACACTTTTTAAAATTCACTGAAGGGGCCGAGGAGGTGGCTTGGTGCAAAGTGCCTATTGTGCCAAGCAGGAACTGAGTTTGACATCCAGCACACACATAAACCCAGGTGTGGTGGCTGCAGCTGTAATCCCAGCACTGAACAGAAGCATCCTGGGGTTTCCTAGCCAGTCAATCTAGCAAAATAGTAAGCTCCAGGTTCAACAAAAGACCCTATCTCAAAAACTAAGGGGAAGAGCAATAGGGAATACATATACATACACAACAACAACCAAAAAAGCAAAAAACAAACCACCTTATTTAAAATCATTATGCTGTGTAACTACAATAAAACCTTAAGCATCAAGTCTTTGGAAAAGAAAGAAGTATTTTGGGTCCACAGTGCCTGGTCATGTCAAGTGTCAGCAAGGACAGAGTGGGGGGTGGTTACACTGCTCAGTGGGGATGTCAACTAACATGTAGTTGGGAAGGCTACATGACAGAATCTACCAAAACCGGGCACACACAGGCCCAGTGATTCTACGGTTTACTAAGTGTAGACATCCCAGACACGTGAACATTCTTGCTGTATTATTTGTAAAAGTCCAAAACTAACCAAATAATTGTTAACAATAAAATAGGTGGCCAGAGGTGGTGGCGCATGCCTTTAATCCCAGCACTCAGGAGGCAGAGGCGAGTGGACCTCTGTGAGTTCGAGGCCAGCCTGGTCTACAGAGCTGGTTCTAGGACAGCTAGAACTGCTACACAGAGAAACCCTGTCTCAAAAACAAAAAAAAAAACAGCAACAACAAAAAACATATTTGTGCGTGCATGTGCTCATGCACGTGCGTGCGTGCGTGTGTGTGTGATGCCTTTGAGTATATATGAGGTGTAGAATCCCCTGGAACTGGAGCTATGGTTATGAAGCCACCACCTGGGTACTGGGAAGTGAACTCAGGTCCTCTGCCAGAGCAGTCAGTGCTCTGAGCCATCTCTCCAGGTCCATGGTTTCTTTTTTTTACAAGATAGGCAAAACTCATCTATGATGTTGGGGGGAGTATAAGAACAGGAAAGGAGTAAAAGTGGGGAGTTATTAGGGTTGCTAAAAAATGTATTTCTTGGAGAGATGGCTCAGCTCTTAAGAGCATTGCCTGCTCTTCCAAAAGTCCTGAGTTCAGTTCCCAGCAACCACATGGTGGTTCACAAGCATCTGTAATGAGATCTGGTGCCCTCTTCTGGAGTGCATGAATACATAAAAAAATAAATCTTATTAAAACAAACAAACAAAAAATTGTACCTCTTTTTCCAGGTGCCAGGTATACAGGTGTGTAGTCACTTTGTGAAAATTTACCAACTGCCTACCATGACTTAAGCACTTACTTGCACATACACTTCAACTTTAAAGAAAGATTTTAGGGTTAGCCTTAGTAAACCACACCTTTGACCCCAGCATTTGGGAGACAGACAGGTGGATCTCTATGAGTTCAAGGCCAGTCTGGTCTATAAAGCTGAATTCTAGGCCAGCCAGATACCCAGTGAAACCCTGTCTCAAAAGAGTTTTTAGAAAATAAGTATAAGCTACAACTACAAACAAAATTATGTTCCAACTTCTCAGTAACAATGCTCATATGTAAATGATAGGGCCTTTGTCTATAATCGTCGTAATATACTTGAATGGTATAGTCATCACAAACATTAAATAAAAGAGTCTTAAAATTAGATACTTACTCCTTTAACTTGCTTTAATCTGTTATATTCATCAGCAGCAGCCTGGATGAGAAAAAAAGGACAATGTTTATGGAAGCATTGTCTCTCTCAAGAATAGCATTCTTGCCTGGCGGTGGTGGCACACACCCTTAATCCCGGCACTCACTCAGAAGGCAGAAGCAGGAAGAGCTTTGTGAGTTCGAGGCCAACCTAGACTAGGGAGTAAGTTCCAGGACAGCCAGGGCTGTTAAAAAGAGAAAAACTAAACAAATAAAATCTTTGGAACTTAGTCATCAAGAATGTGGGCCTTCCAAGTATCTAAAATGGCAAACGTAAACCACACACTCACTCTATACAATTCTTAACAACCAATCACAGCTCAGTGAAACCTCCAAACTGTCTGGGCCGTGGGCTGCCTGGGTTCCCACTCTATCTATTCAGACAGTCCTTTGTACACATAATGTGAACACAGTCTCAGCCATGCTGTCGACAATGTTCAGATGTAAGTGTTCTGATTGGAATTTGTGTTCTCTGCATTTTAAAATAACCAAATATGCCATAACTGATTAATAAACGAGGAAGGTACGAAATGTCAGATAAGAGCAGGAAAACAACCTATGAACCAAGGTGGAGTAGCAGCACACACTTCAAAACCAAGAAGTGGATGCTCAACGGGAAACTGCACAAGTACTCGTGAGTACAAAGCTCCGAGCAGCTTGGAAAGGGATGGGGGAGGGTTATTACTAATGCTCAAGGCAGTCAAATCGCCCCCTGGCTTGTTACTGGGGAAACCAGTCGGCAAAATCCTGACGGGCAACTGACATGCTTTAAATGCATGCCCTCTGGAGAAACGGTTTCACATTCTGGCACTTGAATTCACTGCACGAGAACACAAAAGAACAAAACTGAAGGGCTTGCTGGTCTCTCGTTGGTATGGCTGTATTTCCAGACTATTAGATATCCTTCAATAAATTATGGCACGATCATAAAATTGAAAACTGTATAGCTACTCTCATGCGTAATCATTTTAAAAAGCCAAACATTGTGGCACAAACTTGAAATCCTAGTAGGTGGGAGGCACGAGGATTCAGGGTTCAAGGCCAGCCTACGTATACTACAGAGCTAGATTCTGTGTCAATAAAAGTCGACACAAAACAATTATTGTTGACACAAAACTATAATCACAAAGCATTTCTGTGTAAAGGAGTAGGAAATAAACAGTGCTAGAGTATAGTGTTTGAGCAGCCGTAGAGAGCTTGCCTAGCATGTTGTCTATCTGCAAAGGAGAAGAAACACAAGGTGTGATGACACATGCCGGTGACACTAGCACTAAGCAAGAGGACTTCAAGTCCACCTGAGCTACACAGCAACGTGAGACCTTGTCTCACCATTTTCAAAAACACAAGTGAACCCGGGATTAAAGGTGTGGAACCACCACCACTCTCAGCTTTATTTATTTATTATTTTATTTTATTTCTGGCGTATGGGTGCTTTGCCTAAAGGTTAAGTTTGTATACTACTTATACCTGTACTTTATGTAGGCCAGAAGAGGGCATCAAATACCTGGAATTGGGGTTACAGATGGTGTGAACTGACAGATGGGAACTAGGAATTGAACCCTAATCCTCTGGAAGACAAACCAGTGCTCTTAACTGTTCGAAACCAGTCCTCATGCAAGACTGGCATTTTCTTGGTAACAAAGTTTTTCTGGAGTATATGGTATAAATTTAAGGGGGGACCTCTGCCTCCCACACCCCATGTATCTCTGGCTAGCCTAGAACTCAGTGTGTAGACTAAAATGGCTAAACTCCCAGAGATCCTGCCCCTGCCTCCCAAGTGCTGGGATTAAATGTGTGTGACACCAAGTCCCACCCAAAAGATATACTTTTATGGGTCCAATTCTGAGTTGAGGTTTTCATAATAAAAAGGAATTATATTTATAAATAGAAACTATTAAAATGGCCATTTTCTTTTAAATAGGAAGAGATACGTTTATGCATTTAGACTATTGCTTTGTAACTCTTTAATCTATTTATATCGTGCGTGCATGCAAGGTGGGAAACAGGTCTGAAATCCCAGTACTTGGGAGGTGAAGGCAAAAGCATCAGGAAGTCAATGTCAAGCTCGGCTACACAGTGAGTTCAAGGTCAGCCTGGGGTATGTGAGACGCTGTCTTTAAATACTGAAAACACAGACAAAACAAGGTAGGCTTGGACCTTACCATGTACTCTTCACTTTCTTCTCTGTAGTCATCCAGTTCTTTGTCCAGACGAGAGAGCTCTTTGCTGACCTCGTCAAGTTCAGCTTGTAAACTCTTGTACTCCTGTAGACCTGTGTCAAAATCTCTCTTGTAGAGCTGTCGTTGTTGATCAGAAGTGATAGGGGGGTATTCCCTGGGAAGCGGAGAAGGAAAAGGTTACACGAATGCCCTTCGCACACACAAGAAGCTGGTGGCTCCCCTCAAGGCAGCACACTGGTAAGGAGTGTGAAATTGTGCTCGCTTGTTTTCCATTGCATCCTAGGAGACAGCGGTGGGATGCATGAAATCCTACAAAGAACTACAACAGAGGCTGTAAGGGTGATCTGCCTGGGACCCCTGTTATCCCCTGAGCTGTTGAGGCACTCATCTGCAGGGGCTAAGTGGGTCTCCCCTCCTGCCTCACCGTTCCAAGCACATGCCTTCCAAAGCCACAGGCTTGTCAAGGGGATGTCCTCCTTCAAGGCAGAAAGAACATCATTTGGTCACATGGCTGTGCTCCTTTGCTTATACAAGCTCTCTAAAATGACTTCAGACCTGAAAAAAGGCAGCTCAGTGGCAGACCAACTGCCCACACCATGTACAAGGTTCTGAGTTCAAACCCTACTACCACACAAAAAGAATAATTATGCTCTTTATATTACCACTCACTTTAAATGAACACTCCTCATATTTTTACAAATAAAGGTGGAAGTTATGAAATTTAAGGGTTCCTAATTAGTAAGAATGCACTGATCCTCACTGGTGACACCACAGGATAACAGACCAGGATTCTCACTAGTGACACCACAGGGTAATAGACCAGGATTCTCACTAGTGATACCACAGGATAACTGAACCCTTAAAGTCGTAAAACAAATGCTGGAACCCACAGCCTGCCTTGATCGCTGCAGAGCAGCTGGCTGGGAGTGGCTGTTTCCTGCTGCTAGCTATCATCTTCAGACCAGCTCATTTGTTTATTTTTGGTCTTATTTTTCCCAAGTGGAAACAGCTTATCTTGTTCTGTCACTAGAAAAGTATGCATTTAAGTATGTACACACAGAGGTTGGAGGCATAGCTCAGCACGAAAGTGTGTATGTAACATCCTAGGTTCAATCTCCAGCATTAAAAAAACAAAAACTAGAAAAACATGGTCATTGCGTAAGCAACTTGGCAATTCATGAAAATATGATGAATTAAAGCTGAAATTCTGAAGCCAGCAAGATGGCTCAGCAAGCAAAAGTGCTAACCTCCAAACCTGGAGTTTGATTCCCAGGACCCACATGAAGGCAAGGATGTAATGATTTCACTACACCCAAGATAAATGATAAATGGGTGTTTATTGGGGCACACTTACACAGAAAAATACGAAGAACCTCAGAAGTGCTTCTCTGCCCTTCCTACAGGATTGGCTGACCCATCAGAGAGCACACAAACAGAAGCCACCCCACCCCCGAGCTTCCCTCCTTCTGTTTCAGTCACCTGAAGCCACGCCAAAGGGGTGTGGCCATTGTTATAGGCTCACAGACAAGATGCCGACAATTCCCCTTTAAGTCTAAAGAAGAAAGTTTTAAGCCTGATGCAAAAACTATAAACAATGATAACAAATGTCAAGTATGTTCCAGGAAAAGGAAAGGTAAACATACACAAATTAAGACCTACTATCAGCAAGAGCAACCTTGAGCAATAGATACATACTACATGGCCAGTATACATGTCCAGTACCAGGGTAAAGGTATGACGGAGATTACGCCAATGCTCCTGACACCTTGGGAAGCAATGTTTATGAACCACCATTTATACTGCAAAAATTTCTGATAAGTGGGGCATTGATGGCAAACGCCTTTAATCCCAGAACTTGGGAGGCAGAGGCAGGTAGATCTCTGATTTTGAGGCCAGCCTGGTCTACAGATTGAATTCTCAGACAGCCAAGGCTACACAGAGAGGCCTTGTCTCAAAAACAAAAAGAAAAATAAGAAAAGAGAAAGAATTTTTTCTGATGTCTGTTCCCGTGTCAGAACTCCTAACAGGACAAGGCTACACATCACACACCTGTATATTTGGTGATGGTAGCCTAAAGCCAGCCACTGACACAAAGACCTTAATTTAATCATACGTTTTGCTGCAACACTAAACTGTTTCCTCAACTGTTCACGAAACCGTCACCGAATTCTTTGGGTTAAACTTGAAAAGAAACTCAGGGCTTACCATGAAAGTGTACCTGCCAAAGGAAAGCCTGTGTGACTCGCAAATTTTATAATCAGCCCAACACAACCCCCCTAAACCCATGTTTTGTTTCTTTGAAAGCCTTCCTTGGGGTCTAGTGGTAGAAGAGCCACTTCAGGGAGAAGTGTGTTACATGGTTACAACCAAACAGAGCCCTCCACTTCTGTTTTCTAAATGGGTACCAAAGGAAAACACAAACCCCAAAACTGTACCCAGCCCCGGAGGCCGGGGTGCGAGAAATGAGATGGCAACATGATCCCAGTTTCAAAGGCAATAACCCCAAGCCCGGCCAACCACCGTGATAACCAGAAGGCTTAAGTGGCTCTCGAAAAGGAGAAAGGCCTTACCTAACCCAGTCCTCCTCCAGCTCGTCACAGGATTCGCCGCCTGTCGTGTAGTCTGTTTCATAGTGGTCTGGCTCTGCTCTCTTCGGCCTTCCCGCTCTCCCCTTTGTGGGAGCCCTCTTTGAAGGTGTCTCTAGGTTACCGCTGCTGCTGTATCGAGGCTGCCTGAAGTCATCCACAGGAGAAGTCAAAGGAAGCTCCTGGGCCACTTCAGGAACCCTAGAGAAAACACAGGCCACTGCTCAGAGACCGGGGAGGACATTGTGACTCCGCCAACCCCTGCAACCGAAAGGGCAGCGAGAACAGCCCCAGGAGACACCCACACTCGGCCACTCATCCAAGGAGTTCATTTGCTATGCTGAGCAGTTCACGCCTGGGGTTCCTGCAGTCAGTTTGGCACAATTCAGAGCCCTGTAACACAAGTAGCTTTAAAGCTCTGCCTGGGGGAGGGCATCCATGCTCAAACTTCTAAGAAAAATGGAGCTCATGCTTCCTTTTAGGAAGTTCAAACTAAGTTATAAGGAGTGTTTATCTGCCCTGTGCCAGAGACTTACTCTACAAAAGGCTGTCGGGGAAAATGAGCACAATTCTTCCTACAGGTTCTTCCAGTCCCCTGGAACCTGCGGAATGCTGTGTGAGAACAAAGACGCAGCTTATCCAATGGAGACAGGCTCTTTGCAACATTAATTTTACGTTACCGCACACAGATCATCCTTACGAGCTGAAAGTCTGAAAACACCACAATACTTAAACTAAAATGCTTCCTGGTTTTGAGTATAGCGACAAATGCCTGTCACCCCAGCATCCAGGAGGTTGAAGCGGGAGGATCTTTGGGCCATCCTGGGTGGGCTACACAGTGAGAGCCTGTGTAAATCCCCACTGTTCAAAGGCAGGAGTTAATTAAATATTCTTTTCGCTCTCTCTGTGTTGATCTTAAGGCCATCTAGAATCAACAGATTTAACATAACATGTATGATTCGAATGTAATTATTTCTCGTTGCATCAGATTTTAAATTGCATGTCATGTCCCGGCCACGAGCATGAAGATAAAGCCCAATGCAGCAATACAATGGAAGGGTCGGGACAAGGGTCCATTACTTCTGAGTAACAGAAACAGTTTGACTTTGCTCTGTGAAGAGTAAGAACAGAAATGAACAAAGTTATCTAAGCTATCAGCCTGGCTACTCAAACCAACCATTTAAATGTCCTCACACTTCTTGTTTTCCTTTGCGGCTGATGCTGAGGATTGAACCTGGGGCCTCATGAATGCTAGCTAGGCAAGCACTCATCCATCAAGCTGTATCTCCAGTCCTTTCCCCCCTCCTACTGCTTCTAACTGGAAGAATCCAGGAGCTGAGCTTTTATCTCTCAGGTTTACTGGTCTCTCAGCCCACTGGGTTCTCCCTATTGTCTGGGCCTTGGGAGTCTAACCCCACTGAAGGTCTATTAACCCTAAAGCTGCAGGGAATGGATGTGCAGTTGGGAAAACAGGGGGTGGGGGTGGGGTAGGGAAGTGGGGGGTGGTGGTATTTATTTCTTCTCTCAAAATCTATCCAGCCAACATATGTGTTACCCAAATGCTACGCTTCCATGAGTGTCAATGGTTAACAAGGTTTCGACACTCTACCCACAATACCAGCTACTGTGTGTGCTTTTTAACTTTGAAGCAGTACAACAAGACTTTGTTGTTGTCCTTTGTTTTGAAGGGGTCTGTTTGTTTTTAAGACAGGGTTTTGTGCAGCCCTGGCCTGAAATCACAATATAGCTGAGCTTGACCTTGAATCCTGACCCTCCTACCTCTACTTCCCCAAGGGGTAGGACTACAGGTATGAACCACCATGCCAGGCTTCAAAGAAAGCCTTCTGAATGTGGTTGGCCTATCTGAGGGTCTCTGCATCAGCTCCTGCCTCCTGCTCTGCATGAGTTCCCGTCCTGACTTCCTTCACTGATGAACAGCAATATAGAAATGCAAGCCAAATGAGCTTTTTCCTCCCCAAGCTGCTTTGGTCACGGTGGTTAATCACAGCAAAAGTAACCCTAACTAAGGCAAGCTGGTACCAGAATAGTGGGGTACTGCTGTGACAGACCTGAGCTCGCTGTTTTGGGGAGGGCTGTGGCTTTGGCCTAGAAAGGTCATTGTTTGAGAGTTCAGTGACCTGCTCCACTGGAGCTTTGAAGATACGAATGTTGAGAGCAGTACACACAGGGACGCCTGGCTCATGACATTTCAGAAGGAAGCAAAGCAAAGATTCGGGCCATTTGTGAAGAATCTGTGGCTCTGGTCAGCCGGGGATGAAGAATTGGCTGTGATGAGCAAGAGCCTGGGACCGTGGAAGAGAAACCTTCGTTCTCCCGGGAACAATGATGCTGGTTAGCTGAAGCTGAGGAATTAGTGGTGAGGAAGAAGAGACCAATAAATAAATAAATAAAAAGAGACCGGCATCACTGAAGTGAAACCTTCCGGGAAATGTTTCCAGAGGCCACCATGGTTGTACCTCATGCTGGCCACTGAACTTGGCAGTGTAAGAGTCACTCAGGTGGTGCTGGTTTTGAAGGCATGGAGGGGTCATGGAGAACATTTGAGGCTTGGCACTGTGAGAGGCCGGGAGAGACCAGTGGTGACGGTACAGCCTGTGGCAGTCAAAGGCCTAGGACTGAAGGGCTCGTGCAGGAAAGCTGAGGTTCGGCACCCTGAGTGCCTGTGAGGTGAAAGTGCGGCCCAGTTGCAGCGGAAGAGGAAGACCCCAGCCCTTTGGAGGCGCCAGCGCCATGAGGTAACCGCAAGAACAGCAGCAGCCTTCTAAGCCCAAGCTTAGAAGACAAAATGTGTGTGCTGCACAGGGCAGAGCTGGAGGGGCGGCCCAGGCCCCTTCGGGGAGCCCAGGAGATCATGAGTGAACCCCAGATACTGAACACTGATTGATGTGATTGTAACTACATCCTAGCATTTCCTTCTTGAAGTAAAGAAGTATTTAAGTTATTATTTTACCAGAGCCCACGGTTGAGAGACTAACTTTTTAAAGAGACGTTAGATTTGGGGGACACGGTGCTCAAGACAGGTTTCTCTTTGTGTAGCCCCCGCTGTCCTGGACTCACTCTTCAGACAGGGCTGGCCTGGAACTGGGCGATCGCCTGCCTCTGCCTCCTGAGTGCTGGGATCAAAGGCCTGCGCCACCATGTATGTCCAGCTCACTTTGTCTTTTGTAGAGGATCATTTTTATGTCTGGAATTCATTCCTCACCCTGACACATTCCCCTCACCTGCCTTTGTTTCCCTGTTGTGGCCTTTAAATACCTGGTTTGCATTTTGCTCGCCTTTGTTTGGCGAACTCTATGAGAACATGAAGATGTATTTGCAGGAGCACTTAGCTCAGTATTGTATGAATGACTGGTATTCAAGACAACACAGGCCCGAAAAGAGATTTACAAGAGGCCTCCTTTTCTGATGACACACCATTAGTGAAGGAGAAGACACAATGCCCAGGGCTAGAGAGATGGCTCAGCCGGTAAGAGTGCTTGCTGCTCTTCCAGAGGACCCAAGTCAAGCTCCCAGCATCCACATCAGACAACTCACAACCATCTGTCAAGCCAGCTCCAAAGAATTTGTCACCTGGCCTCCCCTGGCACCTGCCCCTCCCCTCCACACACACAGGTAATTTAAAATAAATATTTTTTATTAGAGAATTACTATTTCTTTGAAAATTTCATTCGTTAAATTTTGATCATATTCACCCCCTCTTTCTCCCATAAGTCCTAACATAAAAATTAAACTAATAGATGGTGGCATACATTAAATTGTTAGTTACTTCAAGGCAGAGTTAGGCGAGTATGATGGGGAAAGAGACACATCTTAACCGGGAGGGTTCGCACATTCCATCAACATGGGAGGCACAGAGGCAGGGCTTAGGTTTGGAGGAGGCCCCAGTGTACTCTCCCTGACCTTCGTTAATGCCAGGCTTCAGCCATAAGATGGTGATGGCTGGCATCGCTGTGGGCCTTCAAGCAGTGGAGCCTACTGGGAGATTTCTAAGGTCACTAAGAGTGTTCCCTCTCCGTCAAGAGGCCTGAGGTCCATCTTAACCCAAAAGTGCCCCTGCCTATCATCACCACAAGGTCCCCACCAGAGCCAAGCAGGCGCTAGCGCCCAACTATGAGGGTTACAAAGTAACTCTGCCTTGGATATTTTGTTAAACAGTGAAAAACAGACAAATAACCAAAATTCTGGAATTCAAATAGTGTCTTCTAGTTTAACAGGCAATGTGTGTGGACAGGGTCGATGGACACACGCAACCTTTCCTGTCTATGAGACCCAATAATCACAGGAAAGGCAGAAAACTAGGTGGCACATACACCTCTGCTCAGTTAACTCCCACACTCTCTTCTGAGCAGTGTGGTGATATATTATTTATGATTTATTAAAGCTTGCCTGAGGATTCAGAAAGTCAGCCACAAGCCACACTAGCTAGCCAGACGGTGGTGGCACACACCTTTAATTCCAGGACTCAGGATTAAGAGGTAGACGGATCTCTGTTAGTTCAAGGCCACACTGACTACAGAAATTGATTCCATCCTAAAATAAACAGCTCAGCACCTGGGATCACACACCCAGCACTAAGGAGGTGGAGACAGGAGGATTATGGCTGGGCGGAGATAGGAATATAAGGAGGAGGAGACAGGAGCTCAGAGCCTTTTGCCTCTGAGGATTCGTGGAGACAGGATTGCTGGGTAGAAGCAAGATCTACTGGCTTGGCTGCTCTGCTTCTCTGATCTTCAGCTTGAAGCTTTAATAAATCATAAATAATATCTCATAAATAACATCACCACAGAGCAGAGCACAGAACCCCATTTCTACTGAAAAGCCACATACCTGACCTTTCGATACAATTAGCAGGTGAAAGGGGGGTCTCATCCTCCTCACCCCGCATTCCCAGGCTGCACTGAGGCCTCTAGCAAAGACCACTGCAGCATGAAGGAGGGTCTGTGTCCAGCTTTCCCGCCTGCTGACAGACACTTCTTAAAGGAGAATGGCTCCCTTCTCCGTCTGGTGACTCACAACAGTGTAGGGGAGGATGGCACCAAGCGACAGGCCAACATTCCTCTTAGACAAATGTTATCACTAAGGTGCTACTTACAATGGTGCTGACTTATAGAGAGACTCTGGGTATGACCGCTTGCCGTCCACTTTGCCGTTAGAGGAGTAGGCCATTGGACTGTCCACTCTCTCCGCATAGTCAGATGGCGGTGGAGGCATGTCTTGTGTGCCTGCAGACACATTTTTAACCTAAATAAACAAAACAAAAACAAGAGACTGTTGTCATTTTTTAATCACAACTGAAAGGGTTAAACGGACAAAGTTATTACATCTAATATAGCTAATAGTTATTTAGCTCAGAATGTTAATTAAGTGAAATAATTAGCTACAGTAATTCTCTCTTACACTCACCTACCCACCCTATCCAGATCAGAAGAACCAGCTCATGTATGAATACTGGCACAGGCTCTATTGTCCACACCCATGTGAGGCAGCTCACAACCATCTATAAATCCAGCTCCAAAGGATCCAACACTGCCTTCTGCCCGCTGTGGACATCTGCACGCATGGTGCACACTTTCACACACATTTACACACACACACTAAAATAAATCTTTTAAAAAAAGAATAATGGGGGCTGGAGAGATGGCTCAACAACTGTTAGAAGCACTGGCTTCTCTTCCAGAGGTTCTGAGTTCAATTCCCAGCAACCACATGGTGGCTCACAACCCTCTGTAATGAGATCTGGTGCCCTCTTCTGGCCTGCAGGGATACATGCAGACAGAACACTGTATACAAAGTAAGTAAAAATAAATCTTTAAAAAAAAAAAAAGCCTTTCTAAAATAATAGTAACAATAATAATGGCATGAGGCTGCTTGGGCCCCTCCAGATCCCAGTGTCCTCGACCTGCATAAACTGGGGACAATTACTCACTTCATAAGGGTGTTTGAATAATTAAAGGACATGAAGAAGAATCATATCTACCCCAATGTCTTCTGAGCAGGGGGAAAACCTCCTAATATATTGGATACAAGTAAATTGGGCCAGGTGGAGCACACACCTTTAATCCCAGCACCGGGGAGGCAGAAGCAGGTAGATCTCTAAATTCAAGCCCTGCCTGGTCTACAAAGCAAGCTCCAGGACAGCCAGGGTTAGGGTTGTTGTAATTCAGGCAAACCTGGTCCCACCTCTTACCCACCTGCACACGGCAGGTATATGCACCCTGGCTCTTTAAAAGAAACATCCCTGCCCACTTCACTCTTTCCCACTGTTCCCCTGGGGCAGACAGAACTTTTCCTGTCTCCCTCTTCTGTCCTCTCTCTGTCTCTGTGTTCCTTTACCTCTTCTCTCTCTCCTTCCCCATTCCCTCCCCTCTCTAATAAAACTCATTTAAGCTCTGTCTGCCTAGTTTGTCCCCTACCTCCCTCGCCTACCACCCTCACCTGCCACGCAATCTGCCAAGATCCACCACACGCTTTATTATAACAAGGGCTACACAGAAAAACCCTGTCCCAGGCGGAAAAAATCCTTTAGATCCAATTGGGTTTTTTATTCTGCTATTTTATGCCCTTGCAATTATTATCAGCATCTATAGGGTGTGTCTTGCAATAGATACACTTTTCATCTTGTATTATCTAAGGGAGTATGCAGTGATTTCATTGTTTCATATTCAGGGCTAGAAAGGAATGGGATCATTTCCCTCTGAAAGTGGAATTCAGGGCCACAGCCAAGCCAGCAGGTGGGTTTCCAGGGAGTGTACTTAGATTCCACTGCAGGGGGGCCGGGTGGGAACCATTTTTGGCTCCCACTGAATTCCTCACAACAGAACATAACAACCTCTCAGGCCAATGCGCTGCCAAGTCAAAGGGCTGCCCTTACTTTAGAGCCCTCATCAGAACTATAAAAGGCTTCCTTTTCGTAAAAGCCGGCCTGACATTTCTCCAGGACCCACTCCTCTTCCTCTCCCCTCCAGCAGGAACTTTACCAGAGGCCCAGTCCTTTCCGACTGCCTGGAATGCCCTTCCCCCTTTCTTGGCCTGCTAATCCCTCACTGGGCTCCAAATCTTGGTTCAAGTGCAGACAGCTCCTAGGGGCCTTTCCCTCAAGTCTCTGCAGGGAGGGGAACAAACTCCTATCTCCCCTCGTCTATCTCCATACACGGCCAGCCAGAACACCTACTCACGGCCACGCAATGCCTCACTCAGTTATCTCTAACCTCTGGAGACAACAGACGGTTCACAAGCAACCAACCCAGACTGGACTGCTAACAATGCTCAACAGGCAGCTCATTTCCTAGGCACAGTTTCACAGGTATGACACCTCTCTCAGAAATGAGGAAGCTGTGGCTCAAGGGATTGGATAACTTTCCTAAGGTAGAGCTAATTAAAAAAAAAAAAAAAAAAAAAAAAAGATAATGAGCAGCCTTGCTGCTAAGTCTCCAAGGTCCAGACCAGTGTTTGCACAAGTCAGCAGCCCAGAGCCTGGCCTTCAAGGTGGCTCAACCTGCAAAGGGACCTGAGTTCAATCCCTAGGACCCACATGGCGGAAGGAGAGCACCAATTCCCACAGGCTGTCCTCTGAATTACACACACATGCCGATGTGCACCCCGATGCACACACATACACATAAATAAGTAAATACAATTAAAAGGAGTCCAGAACTTGCTGTAAAAGGATTGCCCAGGGAACTAGAGGTAAAGAACGTAGAGGGGAAACACAAAATAAGATCTGTTTTGGGAGAAGAAAAGCTTGAGTCGTAATTCCCAGGGCCAAACGTCAGCCCTGCCACTCCACAGCAGCCTCCGGCAAGCTCTAGACTGGGTCTCTCTACAGAAAAAGGAAATGGAAATCTACACAACAGAGTTCAGCCAACCAAGGAATGCCTCAGACTGAGATTTGAGATAAATCAAAAGTTTATCTCAAAAACATATCTCACACAAAGAAGTTTAAAGAATAGAATAGTTCATTTTTGGCGGGATACAGGGTAGATCAATATGAAAAAAGAAGTGTATCTGGGCATAATGGTGCATGCCTTTAATCCCAGCACTTGGGAGGCAGAGGCACTCTTGAGTTCGAAGCCAGCCTGATGGCCAGGGCTATACAGTGAGACTCTGCCCCCCCCATCCCACCCCACCCCCCGAAAAAAAGAGAACTTTTTCCAAAATGTCAAAATACAATATATTAAATTCAAAGAGCCATATATGATGAGGCAAGTTTTATGAAAAATGTAATCATACTCATTAGAAGGATTCCAATTATGTCGTTTGCGAACAAAACCTTGTGACTATGTTTAACCCTCCCCCTTGCCCCTCCTAGAGAGTCAATGAAAACATCCTGCACCCTGTGGAATACCCGAAGGAAACCGGGAAAACAAGGAGAGATGCACAGGGGCTCCCCAGTCTCTTCCTTCCTGGATGGAAACAAGACAGAGCAACAGGGTTCTTCACCCTGGGCCCCTGAAGTCAGAGCCAATAGAACTCAGAGGTCGGGGGAAAAGACTTTCTTATCAGAATGAATTTCCTGTGATGTGCAGTGAGCAAGCTGCTGCAGTGACAGCCAATCTCCATTTCCCTCTCCATCCTGCCTTCATTACAAGTTCACACGTGGACAGTCAGGCTGGACCCACATCCAGCCAGGCTAGCAAAGTGACAAAAGTCATCTACTTCTGTGAAGGAAAGGGAACTTCGTCAAGTATCTATCATGTGCCAAGCAGTCCAATCACATTTATTTAGCACCGCCCAGGTAGATAGGATTATCAGTATTTTCTGAGGAAAATGAACTCAACCTGTTCAAAGTAAAATAGAAGCCAGAATGGCTGCTGGGAAATCTGAACCTTGTGCTTCACACAAGCTGTCCCTTCTAATTCAACCTCATCTCCGGGTGTGTGTTGTGTCTAGGCGCTTCACCCATCCTTGAAACAAGGAAAATCATTGTCACGGCCTTGAACTCACTTCATCCTAATGAGACTCAGGGTAGAACCTCTACTTGTCTAACTTTGTGAGGGCAGGAAATTTCTACACAGAATTTAGTGAGAATCCTACCCTCAGAAGGTTCTCTTCCTGCTTCGTAGATGACAGGGAGAAATAGCCCTGCACAGAAAGAAGCAAGCTAATCTCAAAGTGCCATCTCCAGTTTTACAACCTGCCCAACCCACCTTCATGAGCTATCCTTGCAGGTTCTCAACAGTAAGTGGTCCAACTTGTTTTTCCCGTTTCCTGCCATTTTATACCCGCAGATGCTCACAGCTGAAAAAGCTCAAGAGAAAGTCTCAAAAGTTCTTGCCCCTTTTTTAAAACACTTTGGGTTGTTAGGGTCCCATGTGGACCAATCCCACAAATGAAGAGGTTATAGAGCAAGTTAGAACCACTGAGTGGCTTAAGTTACTCAGTAGCCCTAAAGCCTTTGCTCAGCTCTTGCTGAATGTTGCCCAAAGAAACAATGTATCAACAAAGGCAAATGCTAAATCAGTCAGCTATCAGACCTCTGGAAGCAAGTCACCAAGGGGGCCACTGGAAGTTTGGGAGCAGGCAAGGTACAGAAACTTATTCTGAGTGAACCTCATTGATTATCTAATCCGTGGCTGCTTGCTGCAGAGACAGAAATCCAGGTGACGGCTTGTACTTACAGGGTCTCTCTGTAGCCCTGACTGTCCTGGAATTCACTCTGTGGACCAAGCTGGCCCCAAACTCAAAGAAATCCACCTGCCTCTGCCTCCTGAGTGATGAGATTAAAGGCGTGTGCCACCACTGCCTGGGGAAGGCTTATACTTTAATACAGAGGTACATCAGACTATGGTTCCTTTACAAGCAAGCTGAAAAGCCAAACATACACAAGCCGCCACCACCTGATGTTCCAAATACCCTTCAGTTTTCCAATGCCCTCGGTGCCCTTCAGTTTACTATGGTACAGAATACAAAGTACACCATGGTGCAGCAAGGACTTCCGTCTATATTAACCCAAAGGCAAACAGTGTAACCCTTGTGGGAACAGAGGCTCTCAAATCATGCCCCAGAACAGCACACCTACACTATCTGCTCAACCCCAATCCAAACCTACTAAATCAGAAACTAGGAGGTGAGGCAAACTGCTCTAGCAAGCCCTCCAGGGAGGAGAGCCACTGATGCAGGACAGAAGCTCTGCACTGCAGACAGCCAGACCCGGTTTAGATCATTACACCCTGCCACATGGCTGAGTTTAGAAACATTAACTCATGGTGCTGGGAATCTAGGAATTCCAGCTTTCAGAGAAC